AATTTGTTCAGCTTTCCAATCGTGATTGAATAACAAACATCCCTACAAACTTTTACATTTATATTATAAGTAGGGTTGAAACTGATGTTTTATTAAAAAATCTAGTTATTTCCAACGATTTTTCCTACATGAAACAGTATATGAAATAGTTAGTGTTAATTTAGGATATAACCTACTAGTGTACTAAATTTCATTCAAATCCGTTTAGCCGTTTAAGCGTAATTGAATAACAAATCCTAAGAGGCCTAATTTATTCAAAATATAAAAATACTATGTAGATGTCACCCACATTTATTGATGCCTACGAATATAGTAATAATTGAATATAGAAATAATTGGTCATATAATTCGATACCACAGCATTCGACTTCATATATAAGCGAAAGTTCATCTGCAATATTAAATTTATCAAAAACGTGGTTTTGGTTCTTTAATATGCATGCACCACCTCTTTTCAAAATGAAACCATCACTATCATGAATTGATTCCGAATCTAGTCGAACTTTTGCGATCTAATTAAATCGGTAGTTATTACATTAAAATAAAATGAAACCACTTTATAATTATTTAAACATAATTAAATTTTTGGGCCACTTAAAAAGTTTCACTCAAAGCAGGTCTATAATGTGTTATGGTTTTATTTTGCATTCATGTAAAGACATCTTCAAGACATCTTTTTTTTGTATACTAACAATATATTAATATTAACATTTCTAAGAGCATTGGGATCCTTGATGTTGACATCTCTAGTGAAGAACAGTTCCGTGGCCACCTCGAAGATGGTGGTCAATTCAAGGTAAAGCTGGCATTCAAAAAACTCTTTGTGCTTATTAGAGCAATACTTCGTTGGATCATCGACTAAATTGCAAATCCGGCCCCATATGGAGTATTGCAGTCACTTATTGCAGGCGGGAGCGCCTAGAAACCTAGGTGAATCCTTCGACTCATTGCAATAACGAGTTATGAGAATTTTCGATGATCCCAAACTTACAAGCAGTATCGAATCTAAGTCTTAGGAGAGATATTGCCTCACTTTGCGTGTTCTGTCGTTTGTACAACGTATTGTGCTTAGAGAAATTGTTGAATATGATGGCCACGGCAATTTTCTACCATCGTAAAACTCACTATCGACAGGGAGTTCGTCCCCACACCTTAGAACCTGGATGGTCGCGTACAACGCGGTTTTCCCCCACGAGCGATCAAGGTTTGATGAGCTTTCCCCTCAAGGTTTTTCCAAGAGACTACAGCATGAGGATCTTTAAAAAAAGGGTAAAAAGGGTTTTTTCAGGGTCGGCAACGCGCGCGTAATGCCCGCAAGCGTTCATCACCTACGGTGACCGCTTACCATCAAGTTAGCCGTATGGTGTATAGCGTTCAGTAGTATAAAAAAATATTTTGTAGAAAAATTATAAAAGTTGAGTTTTACTGACTAGTCAATGGCAATTGTTTATTGCTATCATTACCAGTAATTAAAAGAATTTTGATTATGAATTTTAGAATTATGTATCTATTTTATTAATCGGTTAGGAAAATAAATAATGCCTTTTTATACAATTTATTATTTTTAATGCCATATTTCTAATAGTCAATTACTGTTTATGGATTTTGTGGTGACATTTTTTACAATAGTAGGGTATCGTTATTTTTATGCACTTTTAATTTACATAGGCATTACTGTCTATTTTAAAGTTATGCCCTTTCTAGATCAATACTGTAATATACTTCAAGTGACATCATAACCGTCAAGAAAAGAGCATATTCCTTTTTAAAAGGCCGGCAGCACACCTGCAATGCCGTTTATGTTGTCGGTGATCATGGGCGGCGGTAGTCACTTACCATCAGGTGAGCCGCATGCTCGTTTGGTCCCTGTGTTGTAAAAAAATTATAATTTTATTACAGTATTGATTTAAAAAGGACATACCAGAAATATATTTATTTATGTTTAAACTGGTAGTGTTCATAATTTTGTATAAATAATTATGAGTTATATTTAAAACAATTTAAGTTTTTATTTTTTTCAATTTGTAGTACGTAAACTTGTATATTTTTTGTTGAATCGCTGTTACTCAGCAGCTCTGTAGCGCTCAATATTTATTTTATATCTATTTCATCAATCTTTTATCTGAGTTCTTGATCATCTTAGGTGTAGAAATCGAATCGTAAATATCTACTGTCCTTAATTTATAGGTATATATTATGTTACAGGACAAAAAAAACCGTTCAGATACTACTATGCATTTTTTAGTGTCTTTACAGTAGCATAGTTATTATTGTTGAACAATAATCACTGTAAATAACTAATAAAAATACGTAAAGCCAAAAGTTAATAAGTAATCCGCATACCTATTACAGTTTTAATTATATTCTTGCTCTACCAAAAGTCGAGTAGCGTTTACCATTAATAGATAATTAGTGAATCGAAACCCCCGTTATTTTCACCGCACATACGGTGTAATTGTGACCTAACGTCACGCCACAATTACAAAAACATGTCAGTATTTTGCTGACAATTAGCTACCATCGACATAAACACGTACACACTGTGATGTAGACTATATAAAAAATTTGATAGTCAGAATGTATTACGAAATATCTATGTTTCGTATGCTGTAGTATTATTTAAGATCTGATGCATTAATATTATTACAGACTTTAATAAAAAAATTGAATTTCTAACATTTCTTGTATACTGCTAAATTCTACAAGACTAGAGTGTATAAGAGCGAATAATTAAGCAGCGACCCGTTACAATGTCATTTTCGACGGATGATTTCTGCCCTATACAAGACATCCACAAAATTAGTTTTATCAATATTATTTTGATACAATACAAGTACCATGAAGTTTATTAATTTGAATATTCATGAATTCGCATCCCATAAGATCTTATATATTGAAAAATATAAAGACGAGAAAAATTACTCATTGAATGAATTAAACTCTTTATTATTCAAAGAATGGTATAGATTATAAAGATTAACAATATGTACACCAAACATTATTAAGAATGACATGGGAACATAATGTATGATACGATTACCTCTTATAAAGAATTAAAAATATTCTTAAAATGTTATGCACATTGGTTAATTTAAGGTACTTAATTGAAATTTATTAAATATTTCTACGAATACGCAATAATTTTTATCTTGTGTTTTATATAAATATGTATACAATTGGATCCATTTATATTAACATATAGTATAATACTGGCAGCCCGGCCAGGCTTTGCACGGTTGGACATTTATTTTTGAAACATTTTAGAATAAAAATGGAGTAAATGTATCTTTACGCAGGATATAAATAGTTTTTATCAATTGACCATCTATTTATAGATTTTCATAGTTGTGCACGTCTGTCACATCACACGTCTGTCCATGTCTCCCACATTTCCCTTGTGATCCCTTCCTGGCTGCGTTGCCCGCTGCACTGTGTGGGACCACAGCGACCACGGCGTGGCGGCGCGGCTGCTTTTATTGTTCTATGATATAACTTTTTCATTTATAAACTGATTGAAATAAAACAAACACTAAATATTAAGTGGAGCAAATCGCAATGTATTAATCAAAACCACATTCAAATCGTTTAAACTGTTTCTGAGATGAGCGTGCACAAACGTACAGACAAACAGACAAAAATTCTATAAATCATTGTTTTTGGCTCTATTGCGTTCATAAAGTCCCCCTATAGTAGTTTTTTTTATATATCTTCCATGTACAAACAGCGACCAGTTACGACTTTATTTTATGTATTGATTGATTTTTTTTATGTATACCAATAGATAGATACGTCTATAAATTCTGTGTAATGTCACAGCACAGTATGTTATCATTGGAATCAATCGGCAACCGGTCAATAATTTCAAATCGTAACATAACACATAATTACGTTGCGATAGATTGGTGTAATTTTTATGCCCGTTTGTGCCGTCATCGTTTTCTGAATAGTGGTTTCTCAGTAATTGACGATACGTATGTCTCCGTTCCCACGAGGCTCGTGTTAAGGGGAGTAATGTACCTTTAGCTATTTGCAGAACACAGTCATTCTATCTCATTGTCGCAATCATAGGTTGAATATTGACTAGTGTCACACTGAACATGGTAAACAGTAATAATTTAAGAGTGAATAAGGACTTAACTTTATATAAGAAATTGGTGTCTAAGAGTAACAACAATAGCCACAACATAGTAGCTAGCAACCTAACAATATATAGCTATTGATACTTAGATTGAAATGCGGAAATTAATTTTATTTAGGTACAGTAGTAGATATCTATTGAGGCTATCGCATATTTAATGCGCTAAGATGTTATATTTTGATGGGCTCCAAACAGCTGTCCTTTTCAAATTCATATCGTACAGATAATAGGAGAAAAAAATAAAGACTACTCAATCAAAACTACGAAATACCTTCCGAGATTGACTTTCCTAAAAGGGTTCTATTGCCTGTACAAAAAAAAAATTAGGTACTAGCAATCCGCCCTGGCTTCGCATGAATAGACAGAATTTTCGAAAATCAATACATATAATAAAAAAGTTTTGGACAATTCAACTAGTCGATTATTTTAAGGCATTTTATATGTGATTCTTTAGATTGATATAACTTTTTTTTATGAGCCGACTGAAATAAAACAAACACTAATTCCACTAACTCCAATATTCAAATCGGTTAAGCCGTTTCTGAGATTAGCGTGCACAAATGTACAGACAACCAGGCAAACAGACAAAAATCCTAAAAAATATTGTTTTGGTTCTATTGCGTTTATAAAGCCTCTCTATAATAGTTTTTCTTATATATCTTACACACAGCGGCCAGTTACGATATAATTATGCTATCTAATGTCATTTCTTATTACAATTAAATGTATTTACTATTTTATAAATGGTGCAATAAAGTGTAAAATAAATAAATAAATATATATATTAATTGATTGATAGCCGGAGATACTATTAAGTAAAATTAATACACGTACGTATATTTATGTAAAATTTTTGTTGTATCAGTCGTTAACTGTTCACTGTTGAACATAGCCTCCTCGTAAGAGGAGGAGAGAGTAGTTGCCACGCTTGACAAGCGATTTGGCACCCACAGTTTGGCTTTTAGTGATGTTTTAAGAGAGAAACTGCTACCTATTCCTCAACTACAAGCTCTCTTAGGCGCCTTCTACGACGCCCACGGGAATGGAAGGGGTGTCTTATTAAATGCCGGGATCTACACGACTATTTAAAATCGTATTCGTAATTAAAAAAGATCCCTTTTGCAATATCACTAAACTGTAAGAAGTGAATCCCAGTTAGTGTAACATCATCATTTTAGAATTCGATTATAGGCAGTCTTATTATTGTATGTATGTAATTTGGTGCTATTGTAAAGGTATTTTCTTTTCAGTATCAATATGGTTAAGTGGAGAAAAGTAAGGTAAAGAACGCAGGTATAAAATTATGTAAGTTGGCAGTTAACACCACAACGTGAATATTGTGAATAGGTCGGATCAAATCCCCATTCATCTGTCAGGGCACGCGTACCTAAAACTTTTTCATATTTTATACAGCACGTTACGGTGTCGTATCGCCTCTCTCATTTAAATAATCAATCGGTTATTAATGTCTATCGCCGGTGATGTGGCAATATCTTTTCAAACTTCACTCTTCAAGGGTGCCATCGGGTTTTGTAGATAAATTGAGCTTTTGTGTTAGGGACAATATTTCATATGCGCATATTTTTAAAAGCTTATAATAATGACTTATAGGTATCTTTTTTTATACAACTTAGAATGGCAAACAAGCTGACGACCCACCTGATGGAAAGTGGTAACCGTCGCCTATAGACATGAGCAGTACCATAGACATAACACAGTATACTGTTTCGCCCATGCATTCTTGAGGACTCAGGTGATATCTAAAAGAGAATATGTGCTGATACTTTTACCTATACGTAGATCTAAATATTATAGTTTTAATTATATAGGGTTAGTAGGAAGGGGTCATATCAACCCGCAACCCTCTGACAGTCTTCATAAAACTAAAAGACATACACCAAGACATATAGTCGAAATATGGAAATAAGTTTCACGTGAATTTTTCATCAAACGATCGCGTGACCACGCGATTTATATGAATAATTAAAAAATCATTTTCAAATTTCGATTATATTACTTGGGGTTACGTTGTTCAATTTCTTGGACTATTATTGGGTTTCGTAGTAAGTACAGTAAATGTAAGTCAATAACAACTTATAATATAAAATCTGCACAATGACTTATCTATAATGGTTCTATCGCCTACAGTTTCAGTTTATAATTACAAACAGGCCATGATGGATACAAATAGCTGCAAACCGGAGTCGCTGTGCCGTGTGTGTGGCGACAAAGCCTCAGGAAAGCACTACGGTGTCCCATCTTGCGATGGGTGCCGAGGTTTCTTCAAAAGAAGTATAAGACGGTACGGAAATGTAATGTACAAATGTAGTAGATGTTCATTTTTTTATTTCATTTGTCTTAAGTGAGTATATTCAGAAATAAATAAACTCATTTATTTTTGGGACACGAAATATTAAGAAAGTCAAGTTAGAATTTAATTTGTAAATTAACATTCCTAATCGAAATTAAATATGAAAAGTTAAGTTTTTGTTCTATCTATATACATCAAGTTCTAAATTATAAGGAAGGTGGCGATGACCGGTATTTATATATATATTATCTGCAACAATATTATATTTCTTTACAATAAATCTTTTTAACATAATAAAAATTCTTCTGTAATAATCTGAATAAGCAAAATTGAAACTATAACAAGCTATAAGCTTGCGTCCCAAATAACCTCACAAGTAAAGGGTAGCAACTATTGCAACATAGGACTTTTCTACTTAAGTCAAATTCTATTACGCTTTCATATCTTAAGCAATCTATGCTTTATCTTTTTATCTTTTATAAAAAACTAAATAAAAGAAAACCAATGCAAATGTTCCAATGTTTTTAACATTACAATTTGTGACACATTACTCTATGTAAACGTATTCGTTGGATGATTGATACGAAAAAGTTCTTTATGTAATTATTTATAGTATTTTTTCAGAAATTTAGATTACGTGTGTAAAGAAAACGGTCGCTGTGTTGTGGATGTGACTAGAAGAAACCAATGCCAAGCCTGCCGTTTCTCCAAATGTCTACGCGTTAACATGAAAAAAGACGGTATGCCTATGTTCTTTTATTCTGAAATCCTTAATTTTAAGTTTTTTTTTATACCACTGAGGTAGCAAACAAGCATACGGCCCACCTGATGGTAAGCGGTTACCGTAGCCTATGAATGCCTGCAATACCAGAGGTATAACGCGCGAGTTGCCGACCCTGAGTTTAAAATGTATCCTAAGTGTAAAATATATTACACACTTTAAGTTAAAAGTAATATTTTTTATTAATTTTTATTGCAATTTCCAGGTATTCTGATATTGTAGTCTGTCCTTAATAATTCATACAATTCAGATAGAAAATAAATAGATACTCGGGTCCATTGGTTTTTTCAAAAAATGTATTAAGAATTTGAGTAACAAGTCAGATGCAAAAAAATTTTTTTCTACATCCATTTTTATTTAGCAATTATTTAATTACTTTAGTATATGTTAAATTTTATTAATTATTTCATAGCATATTGATATTATTGGAAAAACACTTGGAATTTTGTTGTAATAAATACCTGTGCGTTTCCGTCATTTCTATGGCATTTTCAAAGGTTACCTACGTTTGTTTTTACCGTGCAATTCATTGATGAAACAACTGAAGAAATAATTGTTAATAACATATTTTATAGCACTTTACTTGCATTATCGTGTCTTTTATGGATTTGAATGCTGAACTTATAATAGTCGCAACCCATAAACATTAATAATTTGATCACTATAGAGTTGAATGGCGATCAATAGCGAACGTAGCTGAACGCTTGTCTCAATAAAGTATTTATTCAGGCTTCCTCCTTCGTAGCATGTCTTTTCCATTAGGAGACATTTCAAGTATTTGCGGTACAAGAGTGTCAGTAAGTGGTGTGAGAGAAAAATGCGTGAGGGCCCGCCCGGTTTGTCCCTGCGAATAACTTTGCTAGTGCACCCACAAAGCCACAATGTGAATGTGCGATTGTTCATTTCTATCCCTGTAGAAGCAACATTATATTATGCCAAAACAAAATTATAAAAACGTGGATTAGGAACAAGAAATAATTACAAATACATACCCGCAAAGCATGTATAAAAATGACTATATATTCCTATTTATAAGTAGCTAAATATTCCAATATTAAAAATTAAAAGAATGTATACATTAAATGACGAAGATAATATGCATTTTAAAAAATTAAGAGTCTGAATTTTGATAGGAGTAAAGTCCTCAACACTTTAGGTCATTGGTGACAAGTTGATAACTTAGATAGGATGAATAATGACGACTGTTTTATCCGCAGTAGAGATTAGATCAACCGTGTTCTGTATTATCATCGTCACTAGGTACAGCTGTCTCTGCTTACTATGTGTTATGTATTCCATACTATAACACGAGTTACGAGTCTATACCTAATAATGCCTACCGTAGTAGACTATGTGAATCAACAACTATATCCCCTATTACTCCTGACTTTAAAGATTCTTAGAAATGAAGTAATCGGTTCTTAAAAAATAAAATACAAATTACTTTAAATATTATTTTTGTAGGTATAATATTTTATGAAATATAAAAGAAATAACTAGATATAAAAAGTAGGGTATTCAAGAGATAATAGCAACAAACTTGACCCTTTAGGCGGCGGACGACTGGCGGCTGTTTTGTGTTGGGGTCGCACTTGTATAACAAACATGTCACTAAAGTCGAGTCGTCGAGCTGTCGTCAGCAGCCGGCATTCACACCGATATAATATTTACATGATAATATGAAATTGATTGCGCGCGCAACTTGACAACCCCATCGGCGATACAGGGTTGCGGCCGTACCATCAGTTTATTTAGATAACACTTATTTCTTAATGTAATAGTCTTGTTTGCCAAGCGCTTGTAATTTTAGTCGAGGATTCAGCTTCAATTTCATCACGTGATGCGATTGCGATTCCTTAATGAGAGGGGGACGATGAGGTGTCAACTTTGATAACAAGAAAAAACTACGTTAAAATAAAAATTAAAAATGACTTTTATAGTTATTATCTATAGAAAAGTATGATACACGAGGCAAAACATCACTGTCCTAGTTTTGTGTACTTCTTCATATACCTAATTGAAGTATTTTAATTATAAATGTTTTGGATATAAGATAAGAAATAATAGTTTAATGAAAATAGAACTAAGATGTGTTTTACGAATATATTCTGCATTTGGAAATTCGCTTGATATCTAAAAATCTGTTTCTTATTAAGATATTATTCTATTTACCACATAAATAGACCGATACGTAGCATACTGTTAGCCACATGAGAGTGTTTCAAGTTGCTCAGCGAGTTATGGAGAGGACTATACTAGAAATTTCACTGCGTGATAGAATCCGAATATGCAACCTGAAGTGGCAGTGGGCCGGCCATATAGATCGAGCAACCGTTAACTGATGGGGAAGAAAGGTTTTTGAGTGGCGATTCCTTCTTCCTCGAAATAGAGTAATGATTTCAAGACTGTTGCAGAGAGGCGCTGAATGCAAATGGTGTCGGGTCTTACTCTGTGGCGTAATATGAGGGATTCATCAGGTTGTAATGGAAAAAGAATTATTTATATATATTTTATCCTACATGTATCATGCAGTTGATATAGAGATTACAAACCCACGTTGTTATTATATCAAATGTAATATCTTTGAAATTCATTATAGTCTTTTATATTTAATAAAGTCTTTTTATAACTATAGCGGTACAGCATGAACGGGCGCCCCGTCCAGCCGTCGCAGCACAACATCACCTCGCGCTTCAGAAATTAGGCTACAATTTCACACGCCAGCAACCTTTCTTCCCGCCGTCCGCCCCTCTCGCTTTCTCCACATTTCCGTCGCTTCACGCTTACAACGGGCTCACGAACACACCCGACTCACTTCCCAGTGTACATAGCTCCTTCCTAGATAGTTCCTCCTTTCAAGACTTTTCTAACTCGAGGCTTCCTGAGTCAGCGGAAATCACACAACTCAATCCACTCCTCAGTCCTCCAGTTGGCCCATTGAATTCTTTAAATCCATTCAAGATTCCACTATTTTCGACTGCCTTACATTATCCTGTGCCACACACGGGATATTTTCCTACTAACATGTTTTATCCTCCTGTTATACCTACCGATAATCCCACAGCATCTGTAGAAAATGCTAGCGAGAGTAAGTATATACTTATATTTTTCTTAATTTTACTTATCAACCATTTATATTAATTTATTTTTGTATAACCTTTATTCCTTTATACTTGGCATATTTAATAAATAATTCTGACATGTCTTTTGATTGCGATCACGTGCAGACAATCCACATCTAAAAATATAAGGTTTAGTCTTAATAAATTTTGTAATAATACTATTTTTGTATATTATTTATAAATAACCAAAGTTGATAAAAAGATGTGCTAAGGTTGTTTACTACATACCTATGTCTAATATAATAAGAAAAGATTATAACACACATTACAACGGCGTTCTAATAATTATAAGCATGTGCATATGCATAATTCTATATCCATAAGAAAAATAGCGCCTAGGTATAATATATTGTCTTATTTTAATAAACTGGTAACTGATTACTACATTATAAAATAAATGTATTATGTTTAATCAATTCAGAGCCGCTTGATAGAAACTTAAAGTCACCAAAATTCCATGCAACACTTCATAGCCATGTTCAGAAACCAGACTCGAAACAAGTAGAAAAAATTAAAGAAGATGAAGTCTCGAGTTCAGAGGAGGCTTTCAAAATAGATGGAGCAGTTGAGGATCCCAACAAACAAGGTATTAATAGCAATCGATTTCGGCATTTTTAAATATATTTAGTACCAGCTTTGCTTTAAATATTTAGTACTTACTGTACAGCAGTTTGTGTGATGTCGGAACAAACATAAAAGACAAACATAAAATTTGTAAAAAATATTTATTATTATAATTTCAGCCGTTAACTGTCCGCTGCTGAACATAAGTTCTTCCCCATAAGGGGAGTTTTACCAATAGCTGCCACGCTTGGCAGGCGGGTTGGCAACCGCAGTTAGGCGGTAGGCATATTTTAGAGATGTTTTAAGAGGGACGCTGCTGCCCATCCCTCGACCTTCCTTAGTCGATTCTTATGATACTCACGGGAAAGGAAGGGGTGGCCTATTCTATGCCGCGGCCACATGGCGAAAAGATATTGTTTGTATTCAACCCATATTTCTCTTATAAAGCCTCTTATATAGTTTTTTTTTTTTTAAATATCGTCCTGTTATCATTTTATTGTATTATTTTATTATAATATCTTATCATATTTGTAAGAAAAAAGATTATTTATACAATCATGAAGACGGTACGGTGGTACGTACCTAAGTAATAATGTAATTCTATTTGTAACTTGAACAAGATTAACAAATGTACTAATTCTGAAAAAAAAAACCTAGTGTGGTCCTAGCATAGAATAAACTTCCCTTTTTTTCCCATGCCTTGAGAGGCAAATAAGGTAGCTTAATCGAGGGATGGACTGCAGCAGCTGTGGTGCAGAACAAATACACTTAAATCATAGCGTTTTGTCGTAATAGGTTTCAATCAAATTTTCAGAACCTACTACATATATTACATTCATTCTTACTTTCTTGCATTTGTATATAAATTAAATACATACTTATTCAATTCATTTGAATGAATGCAGTTTGAATTCTTAAATATTTGCGTTTTTTAATATTATAATTGTGTTTTATAGATAAATTTAATAAACCTTAACTAATTTAGTTTCTCAAAATAATAATGACTACAACGATAGTAATATACACACATTAAAAAAATCTAAATAACATATACAAATTTCAGTTTTACAATGTGTTTTCGCATTAAATCCTTAGTATTTTCTTATTTATATTATTTTTTAATGCTTTTTTGATATTAAATAATATTTGTTTTTTTTTTATTTATTTTTTAATAGTCTTAATTAACAATAATGACGAGTAAGTACTATATGTACGTAGTACAAAGTAAGGTGCCTAATCAACTAAACTTAAACTAAAATTAAATGGTTGTACAAAATTTTATAAATTAATGCAAAGTGTGGTCTCCTCTGTTATGGAAAACTTGCTGGCACCGATCATTCATAGAATCGATGAGACTGTTAATGTTATCGTACGGCAATTACTCCCACTGAAATTTTAGTAAGTCCATCAGTTGTTAGGTTGTTGTCACTCCATCCAAGTCATTTAAAACACATCTTTGGAGCATGTCCAATGCATGCTCGATAAGTTGAGGTCTGGCGATTGTGCAGATCAAGGCAATACCAGGATGTTTTCCCTTGCCAAGTACTGCCGTGTGTACAAAGCTATATGCGAACGCGCATTGTCATGCATCAACGTAAAATCGGAGCCAAGCGTTTGTGCGAATGGACGGACATAAGGCCTTAGAATATCCTCAACGTAATTTACAGCGTTCAGGTTATCATTTATAAAAACGAGCTCAATTCGTCTGTTCTTTATAATACCCGCCCATACCATAACTGTTGAGCCGTTGTGTAGATGCATTTCCTGGACGAACCTCAGTCTTTCAGTATTTTCAGGACGACGATTACCCTTCTAGTATTAGGCTTGAACCCAAATCGAGACTTCGTAGGCCATACTCATGCAGTCGATTTCGCATAGTTTGGCAGCTAACAACAACACCACTTGAATTTTGTAGCCTTAAACCTATCTATCGGGCGGTTAACATCGGCTGGCGTCTTGCAGTCAGTTGTATATATCGATCTTGCCGTGTGGTTGTACACCTTCCTCGACTTGGGTGCTGCTCAGCAGGATCTCCCGTGTTAGTGTAACGCTGATGAAGACGACAAATAACGCTTTTGTTGACACTAAAATACCGAGACACCTGAGATTGATTTCTTCCCGCTTGCAACATCCCTACAGATCTTTGCATTTCATAGGCGTTCAAATAACGTCGCTCCATGACGTAAAAAATGTCTCAAAATCCAAATTTGTTCAAAACTTTTTTCGAATTATTATTTAAATCATAAAATTGATACAGAGTACTAAATTTTAATAAGCAAAGAAAATGCTATAAAATTCGAACAAATGCATTCGCTTTTGAATTTGTAAAAAAAAAACAAATGATACTCGATTTTTTTTACAACCAGCCAGTATGTCCTCTAGATCAAAAAAGTTTACATAGGTATTACCTACTTGGTAAGAAATGATATAATAATTGATTAATAACTTGAAATAGGATGTGTTGCTTAGACTTTTTTGATGTGTATATTTTTTACGAATTTCGTAAATTGAGATTTTATAGTGAATTCCAAGGCAATTTACCAATACTTAATGCTCTGTATAACTATATTATTATGTTTTATGTGGCAATATCAAAATTATATATCACAGGCATTTAGAATTACTATTTGATTTTTAACAAGCAAGGCCCAGAGTCTTAGTTAACTGGGCTCTAGAAGAACGAGTACATGGTCTAACAATCTAGGGAATGCAAGTCTCGAAGTTCTGTTTCTTATTTAGTTCTAAAGTAGGTTAGGTAGCATGCAAAACATTACTACTTTGACTACCACTTTATTATAATAATACATTATTTTTTTACGGTCCTCGAAAGTGGTATAAGCAGTCATTTACGTTTTTATATAAATAGATAATCCAAAATTATTAGTGAAGTTAAATATTTGATTACTTTACTGGATTTTCCTATTTATTACACTAATCTACAAACGCAAATAAATAAATAAATAATAAATAAGATTTAAAATATCTACCTTACTTTTACAACGTATTTACTTGGCTACTTATCCGGCTTTCGAATTACAATACATATAGAGCTGTTACAAGTATGTGTAGATAAGAATTTATCTGTAAGTAAAACTAAGCACATATATATACGATAATGGCTATAGTTAAAAACTACTTAGTTCAAAGTTCAAAAGTTGAATTTGGATTTATTTTTAAATACATTTTGATAGCTAACGATAAAATTTATTAAAGGTAATGTTCACTGAAAAGCGCTAATACGATATCGTTACCTGTACCTATTATATGTATAGATAGATAGCTGTGCAAGACAGATAAATAATTGTCAACGTTGTGTTTACACATGGCGTCGACAATTATTTATCTGTCTGTTACCAGAACACACATACCTATTTCTTAGATCAATAAATTTAGATAAGCTACAGCGAATTATCAGAGCGAATTTTTCATTTGCACATAAAATTATTTACATTTATTGCATAATTGAGCAGCTGTTTTTAACCACTCCCTAATTGAGATTACATATTCAACTTATTTCTCTTGTAACCTTAAAAACCATACTTATCATATTTTGCCCTGTAAATTTAAAGTGCGGATAGAAAGTAGAAAATTTTTAATATGAACATAAATATGTACAAGCAGTATTAATTTTAATACATTAATCTTTGTAGATTCCAGACGAAAACTATTACATCTAGCAAGTAATTTTGAGCCAGCTGTGCATGTCTTATATAAGAATTCTGAAATTTATATGCAGGCAGTAGATGGCAAAGATATATCATCAGATCCACTAAAAATAGTTCGTTTAACAGAAAATACAAAGAGAAGCTTAGAAGAGACACAAATTGAGAAAACAACAAATTCCATCCGTGATACATGGATTATACCTGGTGAAGAAATTTATGATCCAGCAGCAAAACTGTTAGTGACATCGATAAAATGGCTGCATACTGTTTCGTCTTTCGTTCAATTGAAGAGCACAGAACAGGCAAATTTGTTACATTATAACTGGAAAGAACTTTTTTTACTTACTGCATCTCAGTATTCTTTTTCTTTTGAAGAAGGTAATAAAATTTTATATTGTCATCATTATCGTAGCGGAATTTTTATATATAGCGTGTTTGCGCATTGAATATTAAAAAATGCGAATTGAATTAATTGAAAAAAGTTTTTATTGTTTAGCAGCAAAAGTAACACTTAATTTATTACATCAGACACTAGGTTTCGTACTTGCACTCCTGTATATACTAATACATTAGATATGGAATTTATGTATGTTTGTAGGTAACGCAAATATAATAGTGTTTTCTTACACCTACCTAAATTCTACAATTTCAGTTCTCATATTTTAATAGGAATTGACGATATGGTTATGCTACTATTCTATATTATTATTTTGTAGCCACATAGCCGTATATATATACGAGTATTATAACTACGTAAGCAATTGTAACAATGGAAATATGTATTACAGATCAAATATCATCGCAATCATGTTCAAATCGATCCAATATAAAAGAAGAATTAAAAAAACTAATGTTTCTTCTAGAAAGAATATCTCATTGTAAATTAGATAAATCAGAATATGATTATTTGAAGACGACATTGCTATTCAGAGCAGGTGATTATTTTCTTATCTTTTATCTTTTAAATGTTATTTAATATTAAATATTTACTTAAATATTAATGCATAGATAATTGAACTTAAATAGTTCAGGTCTTTCAACGTAGATAAAAAAGTTATTTATTTATATATATTCCGTTCTGTGCAGATGCAGTGGATAGTTTTTCGGCACAAATTGAAACAATTCAAGATCAAACACTAATGCTCCTACAGAAACATTGTGCCACCAAAGAGTCATCACGATTGGGACGCATCATGCTGCTTTTACCTAGCGTTTGCTCGTTCGCAAACAGGGGTCTTCTTGAACACCTACTATTTCCATCTTCGTCTAATGACGAGATAAAATTAACTCTCTCACGAATATTACTGTATACATCAATGTAGATAGCGACAAAATTAACCCTGTACTTAAAATATAATTTATTACATGGCTGATTTTTATATACAAGCGACTTACACATCAATCTAAGGTCAGGCTTCATCCTCACCTATTAATAATTCTTAACTGCCTTGCTAGCGTAATCCTAGCATAGGCGAAATAATTATTCCATTATCATCTATTAACAAACCCGTAGCGATTTACTATGTTAGATCGGGTAACAATTTACGACTTTCTTATTAAAATCCAAAATTTTATCTATTTACACCGTTCTATATGTGTATGTTGTCATAAATAAATGAATATAACATATTGGATTCTCAGTACCGATTGACGAAATACCTTAAATTGTGCTAAAAAAACTAATGACTAACTATTTATTTGATCTATTATTAAAAGTAAAATATATTAAAATACTATATCTGTTATTCGTAAACTCGAAAACCATTGGGCGATTAATTTTAATGATGAAATGGTATATGGAAACAATAGTTTCTGTGTCAGGAAAACAGATAATAAAAAGATAATTATAAATGTCATGGTCAGGTCACAAAGCAGTATCTGACAAAAATAAATTTGTTTTGTACCTACAGTGAATTCTCGTTTTAATTACGACTAATATATTTTAAGTAAAGTTTTTAGGTAGTTACTAATACGACAGTTTAGGGGGAAAGAGATTGTTAGTAATGGAATCTAATTACTAGCAATATACCCTATCAGGTCGACCTCCATGCCTTTCCCCCTGGAAACCATCGTGGTTAATTCTAGTGAAATTCGTTACGATAGGCTAACTGACCTGCCTTTTCATCCTCACCTATCATCTCTTACTGGTACTGCCAGCGTATCCCTACAGCGTAGGCGGGGTAACCATTCCATTATCACCCATAAAAAAATATATCACAGTGTAAAAAAGTAGTTCTTTATAATGTACTCATACTTTATATTGCAGCAAAGGGATTAGTAACGGGGATTTAATGCCTTTTTTACTAACAATATCACCTACCAAGTTGATCTCCACGAGATTCATTTTGGAAATCATCGTGATACATTATTGCTGAATTTGCTACGATGGGCCAATTGACCTGTTTTCATCCTCATATGTCATCCCTCATTGGAACTGATGATAGGTGTAGCGTACTCGCGGATACTACAGTTTCCCAAATTAATGATAATAAAATTACATTAATTTAAGAATCTGTATTAACGTCAAATATATAACGTGAGTTACGGCTATTTTCATTAACGGGTAATGTTGTCCGAAAAACGATACCCTAAATAGGGTTCTTGCTACGTAGTTTATCTCGTAAGAATAGTTTAATAATGCTAAATGTTACTATAAAAAGATATACAAACGTAGAAGAACTCTATACATACCTACAGATCTGATTCAGAGAGTTATGATGAGAAACGAAGCGGTCAATGAATTCCAGTTAAACCTAGAAAATAGTTAAATTATGATTACTTACTTTTTTATATACTTAGGTACTGCTAAAATATAGTGTACTTTAATAATTGTTAGATCTTTCATACCATTATATTATAATAAGTACTACTTATGTTAATAAGGTTTTAAAAGACTGGTTTAAATATTTAATGAAAATTGTACTTATATTATTTATTGTGTGAAAAATGTGTACAGTTAATATTAGATATTTGTAATTTGTTGTATATATAATAAATAAAAGTTAAATAACCAATTATTATTATATATAATTATATACCTATCAATTGCTCCATCCTCATACTGATTAAATATCCTGTTCTATGAAAATTAAATTTTTAGTAGCGATAATATTTCAAAAGTAGTAATTTTATGCATTTCGGTCCAAAAAGTAAATAATTCTGAGGCAACAAAGATTATTAGAAATAATAACTAATGGTCTCCTAACTGTTCATAAGATGTGATTCATTTAATAGGTACCTGAACATGTGCAAGAAAATAATTAAGTAGGTATATTCAAATTCATTTAGTGTTATTATTATCACTAGTTTATACCAATAATAATATATTTCTAAAATAAAAGGGAAACCATGCAAGGAATAAAACACATATATTGTAATGTAATACCAAACCGATCTCGATTTGTTTTTTGTTGGGTTATGAGTTTGAAGGAAATATAAATTTGCGTTGCGTGAATTTTAGAAATAGGAAATTCAATAAAATAAACCATTTCTAGATAAAGTACCAAAAATATATACTAGATTTTAAATTAGATCTTCTGGAACATAACTGTAGAAACCACAACCAATTTATTGTAGTAATTTTTGCGAGGTAATGGCACAAATATACAGACAAACTGACAGAATTAATTTCTAAAAAATGTTGTTTTATTGTAGCTATCCTCTTAAATATCTCCCACGTACTGACATCGTCTAATTATAATTTTATTACATTAACGAGATTTGAAACAAGATAAACAAACTTTTTTAAAAATTAATCCGACTTAAAGAAATATGAAATAAAAGCAAAAACAGAACTCACTAAAAAGCGATAAATACTTGTATACTATAATCTAAGTTGTATATTGTTATATTATTGGCATAGTCGTAATTTGATACGAACGATCCAAGATCGATCCATATGAAATTCAGTTTTAAAGACCGATCTCAATTTTCTATGTGCATGTTAATAATATTTATTAGTAAATTGTTAATTTTCTTGTGTAATTCAGATAAACTTCACAGGAAAATGTACAATTTTCTAGAGAAAAAAAAAACAAAAAATAATACACACGCGCAAACACAAACACACACACAAAAAGAGAGAGAGAGAGAGAAAAGAGAGAGGTGGAGAGAAACACACACACAGAAACTCATTGCCTACTAGTGATATGTAAAATGGACGTTTAGTAGCGATACCCAAATCAGAAAGATTTTGTACTCGAATAATTAATAATTACTAATTTTATAATCCGACTACAAAATTAGCTATCTACTAATTTCCGTATTCGAATAAATTTAATAATTAGTAACTAATTACAAGATAGTCTTTTCCCGGTGTCTGTTACTACCCAAGTCCATTCACTGCATCCATTACCACTATAGGTAAAAATGATGACGGAAAAATTGCAATTTATTACATTTAAATTAGCAATACTCCTGCCCGAAAAACAAGAAATGTAACGATCGTATCGACTGGTACATCAACGACTACTAATAAATTAATTTAGTAGTCGGATAAATAAAATTAGTAGTAGAATTATTTCAAACTCGTTTGAATAATTTGAATGTTTTGCTCAGTCGATTAATTTTCAGTCGGATTAATAAAGCCGCACATCGCTAGTTTGTAGTATCCAAAGATGTTAGATAAGAAAAATTAAGAAACCCGACCGGTACTTTTATTTTGTTGATGTGGACACCAATCTTATTACAGGTTATAAAAATAAATAATCTGAATAGAAGTGACGCTTATATACTTTCCGTTGTATTCATTTAAATTGGGGATTTGCAAATTTATAATCATTTAACAAATTATTTTGTTATAATTCTTACTAATATTTTATAATATTAGTAAGAATTATACATGGAAGTGAGTTTGTTTAACGCTTTAACTTATCACTATAAAAAATTGTATGCACGTATTATAAAGGATGGAGAAGACTATAAGCTACTTTATATCCCAGTCAGTAATCATAATCCGATCACGTGTATAAACTAGTAAATAATAAGAAGCAATCTAAATATATATTAATAAAGTCTTGTACTGACACATCACTATATTTGTCATTCGGAGCAAGTAGTTAATACATTACTAAGACTCCACTTTACTTTTATATTAATTGGATCATAAATTTATGCAACCATCTGAGGCAACGATTCACAAAACAAATAATTATTGTGTTATTCAAACTAGTGATGTGCTAGATATCTGTTACCTTCTCCGCGGATATTCCAAAGAAAAAATCTTATATTCGACAATTGGTAGATCTTGAATGGAACTTTACCGTAATAAATGTCATTATGTATATGAAAATCAGATTTGTACATAGTTATTTACTATTTTAAAATATCTTCAATAAGACACTTCTTTACCATATCTACAGATATATTTTTTGTATTTAACTACCTTTTGCCCAAGATTTCGTGCATGTGAATTTTAGGTTGATCCCACCCCTAGCGACCGCGTTCCCATCCCTAACAACAAAACCGAACGCCACTCGCTTCAGGAGAAAACAGACGCTCGTACAATAGCTCGCCATGCGCACGCGCTTGTTCGTACTCGGCGTCGAGTTAGGACTCCGCTGAGGTATCGCCGTTAGCCGCGATCGTGCACGTCGAGAAAATAAATCAACATTAAATTAGCAAATATAATAATAATTGTAGATAAAGAAGAATACAGCGTGAGGACAACCAAACTTATTTAGATAGCTAAATAGATATAAACTTGCTACATTCGAGCCCCCAACAATAGTATGATTATATTTGACTATGTTGAGGAACTGTCAATCTAGTCTGTCATATCAGTTATTGTGAATAAGTTGTCAAAGTAAACAAACGAAAACAAAATTTTGAAAATTATAAATGTTATATTATAATGAGAATTTTTATTAAATTTTTTAACATACCCCTTGAAGATTACAATAATTGATGAATCATTTACCTTATATAAGTTTGTAAAAAAAAGGAATTATAATATACCCACAACAAGAATATTGCCACCAAAACCATCATAATAATCTGCACAACAGCTTACTTCTTCATGACACGTTTGGAACGCGAGGAACCCGTACCAGCTAAATCCAAAGTCTTGGAGACGGCCAAGAAGTCCGCTGACAGGATATTTTTTTCGTGGTAAAAACTTAAATAAAATAAAGACTATCTTTCCTCTTAATTTGTTTTGTTAAGTAAGAAAAAAAAAACACATTTTTAACCAAGTCACATCACTAAATCAAACATTTATAATATGTGTCTGTAGACATGTAAATATCGATATTGTAAGAAATGGTGTCAGACCTATACTTGATAACGCAAAATTATAGATTGAATGAAATGGTTGCATAGAATTCTTACAAACGTTTATTTTTCCGAAATGATTAAGTGACGACACGAATTCAATGGCGCGATTGCCAAACTACAGCTTCTTATGATTATAACCGGTGATATCTTCGTCTTTTCTCGTTGTTTATATAATTCTATCGCTCATTTGCTAAGTACTGTTGTTACTGTATTATTTTATTTATTTTGTGATTTTCATAAAGAGTCTCATTGACTGAAGCTGAAAAATACGTACATATCATTTAATATTAGTTTAGTGACAATAACCTAAATGGATTCAAAAAGTAATGACGAAGATTTTAATGCGGTTAGTATTATTTACAGTATTAAGTAAATATGTAATCATCTTTTTTATCTGTTTTTGCTTAGTAAGCATATCACTTATGCTATTTTTTATTTATTTGACTTCATTTATATAACTATGTCTAAAATTGAAAAAAAAAAACAAACTACTTTTTGTACTATTTTTTATAAACCTTATAAGTTAAGAACAAATGTATAGGCAGGGAAGTACATCAATATATGGTCTTCCTGTCATTAAATTTCATAAAATAATATTTTTAAAAACTTTATTACTTGGTCATGTTTTAAGAGGCTTATATAGATAGAGCATCGACCCTCAATAACGGGTTAAATTTTTGTCAAGTTGTTTTTTTAATCAGTATTCTATATATTTATGCATAAAATATATCCTGACATATTATTTAATACAGAAAAAATGAGTATTTGTGCATTAAAAAGATGCAGAATTTATAAGACAAAATAAATATAGAAGTTGTAAAGGTTTATCACAAAAATTGTATGAAAAGTTGATCCGTTTTTCTCGAAGCATTTCTATAGAGACACTTTATCTATATAATCTAAGAATAAAGGTTAGGTTAGTAGGTTTTTGCTCTTTACTATGTTAATAGTAATAAATGTAGAATTGATAGAATTTTGTACATGCTATTGATATTATTAAAAAAACATTTTCACTCATCCATGAAGTGTATTGTATATGTATTAAAATGTAAAATAAACCTTTGAAAATGTATTAAATGGTGACATCGGTCAGATATTTATTGTAACAATTTATGGAAGAGTACAAGTGTTTTTCTAATAATATAAAATTTTTAGCTTAATCTTCACTAGCCTAATCTTTGAGCTTTTCTTGGTTCTATATCTCATTAATCAAACAATACTTTCTAGTAAGTGAAATTTATAGTTTAATAGTCTATCTTTATGCAGTCTATTTTAATAGAACTTGGTAAAAATGTAAACAAATAAATAACTGACCTAATCATAAGACAGTTTGCAGTCAACATTCAGTAGTAATACAAATCAAAATTTTTTTTTATTTGTATTACTACAAATTTAATTGATTGAATTTTTTTTTTATTGAAATAAGTTAATAGTTATACTAGTGTGCATTTTTTGTAAATGTGTTCACATAACAGTTTTGAATGTATATAGATTGGAATTGCAAAGATACAAAAATATCATTTACTTTTTATAATTTTAATGTATGAACACTCAGAACTGTATTGGGTTAAATTAGTTATGTTTTACTAACAATTTTTGTAAAAAAATATTTTTAATTGTTCTATAATATAGCTTTTAAATAGATAAATGTTTGCAGCAAACTATCTAATATATAAAATTCTCATGTTGCGGTGTTTGTTACTATACTCCTCCGAAACAGCTTTACTGATATTTATGAAATTTTGTTTGCATATTGGGTAGGTCTGAGAATTGGCTAACATCTATTTTTCATACCCTTCAATGATAATAGTGACCCACCCTTAAATTTTTTTTTTTAATTTTTTTGACATTTATTTTTTTTTATTATGACTAAGCATTAAAAAATACATACAGCTTCAAATTTTCACCCTTTTACGATAAACCCCTGTTTTTTAATAGCGATTTTTATATTTCGAAAAAGGATTGCAAGATGGAAGTAGTACAAGAAATTTTTATGTATAGTTTATAGTATATCTTTTTTCTCGATTTAAATTAACTGTCAACCCTCACCAGTCGATAACTGATCAATTACCAATCGATCAGTTACATCAACAAAGCCGGCCTCCTTTCTTTTATTTTCAATACAGTTTTCGTCCATTTATTTTATTTGTGTCTTAGTTGTAGCAGTGACTGTTATATATACGTCATCATATCATTTTAACATTTCAAAGCAAGTCTCATGTTGAAACACCATCTAAACCATTGCATGGCTTACTTATCAGATTCTATCTTATGGCTTACGGATCCAGATTCTATCCTGTACCTAAAGTCAATTCGCACATTTAAATCATATTACCAAATAACATATTTTGGAGCAATAAATAATTCAAAATATTGCTGCAAACGGCCAAAATTTTAATTACACGTTCCAAATCAAAGACCAAGTTTATCACAAAGTGGGCTCATTGCTGCTAATGGCCAAGCGAATCTCATAAATTTTTACTTTATGGGTGGCGAGGACTCCGAACGCACACTTGCCAATCGCGTGGATTCACGTTACGACTACTATAACCTCAATTCACTTTTTGCCAGGAGCATCGTCAGCGAGCTGGACGCTCTGTTAAATGGGTACAATGAATTGTTTAAATTATTAAAATCACACATGCCCAAGCTACAAAGTGACAACCACGCTATTGTCATCAATACTGATAGAACACCAGCTGAAGAGCATTTAACGCACCTGTTGTTGACGACGTTGCTGGAATCATGGTTGGCGACCGTACAGCTACACTACAAATAGTGATTCAAAGAAGAAATAATAATCTACAGTTCATTGCTGATGTTGACCCACCGTTTATATAACGATCTCCAATATGCGCTTATTTTATAGACAATAAATAGCATATAAAAATTTAAAAGACTACAACATATTTAAATATTTGTAAAAAAATATCAAGGTGTCAATAAATCCATAGGCATGTATTCATATCATAATAATAACTTATACTTTATTACCTAAGTATTCATAGATAATAAAATAATGGGTAATGTCATAATAACTTCAGCTTATCTCAGATCTATTGATGACCTTTCAAACAAATGGGAATACTTATCAAAATTAAGTTGTGACATATTCTTCTCTATCTGTGACTTATGTGTGATGTAACATTACGTACTTGCCTATTATGCTAGATGTTAGTCACAACTTCACATAAAACCATTTAATTCCTATTCCCATGGGAATTTAAGTTAATTTTTAATGCTTACTTATATTATATAAGGAACACATATTTCAAAATAAATACAAATTTGTTTATCCAAATAGTAAAGATATTGTGCACGAATTTATACAGGAGGGAACAAGCTATATACTTTATGATTTCCTTAATTCTGATTATACAAGATAAAGCCCTTAAAATAATATAAAAAAAAAGATAAACAAACACAAAAAAAAAAACCTAAAAATATTGAAATTGTTTAATTTTACAAATAGTATGGTTTTGAAAATTGATTTAATTTCTACTTTATTTAAAACTAGATTTTTGCTTGCTACTTCCGACACGTGGATTTCAGAAATGGAACAATCAATGAAATAAACCACTTTTGAATAGCATATCAAGATAAAACATACCAGTTTTTAAGTCAGACCTTTAGGAATACAACTGTGAAAACCGTATTCAATTTCATTAATTATTTTTTGTATGATGCTGAAACAAATATACAGACAGACTTTTTTTTTTAACTATTCTTTTGCTTTTGTTGCTCTTATTAAGACCCCTTATATTAATTTCCCTTAAATATCTCCTATGTACAGACATCATCTAGTTACAATTTTATTATATTTAAACAAAGTATAAGTCCACGAAATTACCAGACATTACAGATTCACTTGCAATACATCAATTAGCACAACATGTGACTGTTCAAACATCGAAAAAGTGTCTACAACAAGATACCTCGGAGGAGTAATTTAACACACATTGAACTGGAAAGAACAAATTAAATCTTTATGTGCCCGGATTTGTAAGCTCAATATTATCTTCAAAAGGCTAAAGAAAGTTGCTGACCTTGTCGCAATAAAAATGGTTTATTCCACACTTTGTGAACCTATCTTGACATACTGCATAGTAGCTTGGGGATCTATTCCCAAGACTTCTTATAAAGCTGGAACGAGCACAAAGGTTAATCTTAAAAACTGCTTTCAATACAGAATACAGATATCCTACTGATGCTCTATATAAAGAAACAGAAATGCTAAGAGTCCGGCAACTTTATGTACTATGCAATGTGCTACGTTTTCATAATACAGCTCTTGCAAATATCTCCACACAAAATCGTCCACAAAGGCGAAACAAATAGATCACTCCTAAGATGCGCACAAAAATTGCTCAAAGGTCTTACTCGTTCACCGGACTTTTCTTATACAGCATTGTAAACGATCACTGTAAAATATGTGATGTGACTAGATACCACTGTAAAAACGGGGTCAAACATTGGTTGAAAGAACTCGACTACAATGCAACTGAGCATATAATAAGTAACAGATCGGTAATTAAAATAAGGTACTTACCGATGTTATATGTTCCTTTAAGTTTTTTATGTATTACCATTATATTTATATGTAAATATGTACTGCTGCGTATCTAAAGTTTATATATTAGTTAATAAGTTTTGTAAGTAGAAGACAGCCCAAGACTTCACGACACAGGGAATCCTAGAGTGAAGTTTTGAGAACAAATGTAAAATTGAAACATGTATTTTTGGATTTAATAAATATTATATTATATTAGTAAAATACTGTTATTGGCACAATACAGGTTTTTTTTTTTTTAATTATAATATGTTATATTAGTTGCAATCATATGATTGCAACTAATATAACACTATACTATAACTAAGCTATACTTTTTATAACCTGACAAGAAAATAAGATAGGTATTTAAGAAAATACACTCACCTCAACAAACTTTAAAAAGAAAGAGCTTCTCGATTCGGTTGGATTTTCATGTTTATTACCTCATAATTTCGTCAGTTCTAAACCGATTTGGAAAATTCTATTATCTTAGAAAATTCGTCAAAATTAGTAGTTTATTATTTAATGAAAATAAGTGGTTTTGTCACAATAAAATTCATTTTTTTTTGTGGAATACAATCTTCTTTCTTAATAATCTTTATCTTTAATTATACAATACATGCTTTATTAGTATATGATATTTTCTTTAAACTTTTTAATAACTTAATGATAGTTAATGTAAATAAGTCATTATCTTGTTATATATATATATATAGCTGATTCATATTAATGAATTTAATTGGGGCCTAGCAATTTGTTATAGATGTCCTTCTCTCACATACCTATAATAATTTATGTTACCTATTACGCAATCCGCCTAATTAGGATTTATAACAAATGACGCGCGTCGGAACATATTGGATACTCAGTTTAATGGAAGAACTAAATCATAATTATCTATATCTCGCAGTATTTAATACATATCTGTACGATTCTAAATAAATGTGTAAATGATGTCGGATTCCTACGTTAGTATGCTTGAGTATCCGCTTCGACGCGCGGCAATGTCATGTCGCTTTATATTTATCAGTATCAAAAAGCTATAATTATTCGAAGTTATAAGAAGCATAATTATAAGTATCAATATTACATTTCAGTGTATAAAGGAAAAAGCGCCATGGTACAAATACATAACGGTGGAACCTCCAATGTTTCTATATATGATGGCCTATATGATCACATCAGTAATAGAACAAACTTTCTATGTATATCAAGCCTGTACTGTAAACCATGGATATAGCAGTGAAATCTGTTACAATATAAGCAATAACGAAGAGGTAAATCGAGAAGTTCAGGTATGTACTAGTAAATATATAAATCTAAACTATTAATGTAAAGAGGAAAAATTTGACTTTTTTGTACGTTAATTTGTTTGTAATGAAATAAATCAAAAACTACTTAGGCGATTTTGAAAATTTTTTCAACTATGAAAAGCTATCATCAGCGAATTACATACATAATTATTATATATAAAGTTATATACATAACTATTATAATTAAGTCACAATAATCGTTTTTTGATCAAATTTGTCAATCAAAATATGAGTAGAAACAAAGTATTAATCCTTATCCAACTAAATAGTATCATAATCAAGGTTGATTATATTCATGTAAAATTCTATTTAAATTTTAAAAATCAGACCTTTCGTTTGGAGTTACGACTGGTATAAACCCTTACGTTTAATCTACTCATGCGCGAACTAGGATTTTAATTAAATTCAATACACAGATTAGACTACAATTATCTGATTAACATACACCTAGGTTTTATTATAAATTCGACTAATATTTCAGTACATACCTACACGTTATATATATTTGCTTTATTCACAGGTAACAGTTTCAACATTTCACCAATGGAATGGTATAGCCAGTCATGTGGTACCTCTAATACTCGCATTTTTTTTGGGCTCATACAGCGATAAACGTGGTCGAAAGTTTATTTTGCTAGCGGGATTAGTTGGTAAACTATATTTTTCAGCTACTATAACGCTAAATGCATTAAAAGGTAAGTGTACATAATTTTACGTATTTTGACATTTTTTATAATAAAAAGATGATAAATACTTAGCAAATTAGCTATCGACCAATCTGATGGAAATTGGTAACCGTCGCCTGTAGACATGAACTGCACCGTGGATATCACGTTGTATTCTCTAATGCCCATTATGCTATTCACGTACTCTTCATGTGTTTCTATTTCTAAAAGGTGTAGTGTCTAAATAGAGGATACCGGAGCTTACTTCGTACCCTGTAATTAGAGGAATTTTACCAGTGTCTTTTTCTACTTTTTTTATTATGTCATGTTCCTTTTTATATATACGAGCAAAAGGGTCAATTCTGATGTACAACTTTTGTGGATTCGTGGATAAAGTCTGTGAAAACTTCTTGTATTTTTTTTTTTATAAATAAAGAGCCTGTTCACAAAATATTTGTCTTTATTCTGATTCAGGGAGTTTTTAAATCATCTCAGCTTTCTTTTAGATATACGTAATAAAACAGTATTAGAAGTTTCAATCAATTGTACTTATTCATTGGACCGTTTTCGAATTATTTATTTATTTCTAGTTATGTCGATTTTTCTGCTTAAATAAATTTGTATTCTAATAAATCATAAATTTTATCTAATTTGTATTTGAGTAAACGGGAATTATATATATATATATATATATATTTCAATCAAACATCGTTTATTTTTCATTAATTCTATTAAAACTATACGCCGATAAAACATCCAAACTATTAATAAGTATTGTGCATCATTTCTTATGTCCTGTATTACTTTTTATTACAAAAATTAGTTATAATTAATATTATACTATTAAAATTTCAGCATGGCCGGTGGAATACGTTATTTACACAGCAGCATTCCCGAGTGCACTTACAGGTGCTGATTTAGCAATATTTGCTGGATGTTTTTCATACCTCGCTGATGTCACTTCGGTGAAAAATAGAACACTTAGAGTGGGCATATTGGACGTCGTTTACCTAAGCACTATGCCTACAGGTGTTGCTATTGGTAAGGATTTTTTATATTTTAACTAACTTTTACTAGCACCTTCGAACGCGAACATTTTGCATTTTTGACGTAGGTTTAAAGGTACACCTACAGAATCCTAACTGAAAACTAGAACAAATATACAAACAGACAAAAATCTAAAAGTATTGTTTTGGCTACTATTACTCTTATCATATTTTTTTGTATAGCTTATTTCTTTTTTATGTGTCATTATAATTTGGTTGGATAGATAAATACAAAAGAATATTAGCACTATTAATGTCTCGATATGCACAATGTGATATTTGTGACTTTTGTTTGTGTACTTAAAATAATACTCCGTGTTCCCATTGTACAATGTATATAACATTGGACGAAAGATATACGGATGAATTAAGATTTTTTTTTTAAGTTAACCTTTTTATACTAGTGTTTATAGTAGAAATTAGCCATCTCTATGTTTTATTGTATATTTATTAATATATACTGTTATTACACACCAGTTTTATTAAACATAGCTATATGTATTTCCTTGCATTTGGTTTTGTAAAATATATTTGTAGAATAAGCTGCTGGAGTGTAGATCTCAATTCGTCGTTATCTGATCGTATTTACAGTGAGTGTAAAAAGTATTCGTACACCTAGGGTTATAATAAAAAAAATACGAATTTGATAGACTTTCCTCTATTTATTTAATTTAAATCAATACTGTTAAATAGTTTAACATTCCCGCACTTTGTTTATGATAATTTTTGTTTTTTTAAAAAAAAAATTATACAACATAAAAATATTTTTACGTTAACTAAGCAAATAATGACAAACAAAAAGTATTCGTACATTCATTCTTTTTTAAATGAAATTCTGTATAAATCATTTATTCAATCGAATTTTTCATATGCTTACAATGCCAAAGTCATTTTTAATACGTAGGTATAGATATTAGACGTTTTAGTTGCACTCGTGACAAGTATAGACGTGTTTAGTTAAAAAAATGGGTCGTAAAGCAAAAGAAACGAGTGAAGAAGAGAGAAAAATAATTATTAATTTGCATAATCAATGCAAATCATTATGTGAAATTGCAAAATTTGTCAATAGACCACGTTCAACCGTACAGACTGTAATTGATCGGTTTTCTATTACTAAAACACTAAAAAACATACCCAGAGGTGGGGCGTCCATCAAAAATCACGCCTCGATTGGATCGGAAAATTTTAAATTGTGTAAAAAAAAATCCAAAAATTAGTGCCCCTCGAGTGTTACAAGAAATTAATAATATCAATGATTGCCATATTTCTGTCAGTACCGTTCGGAACGTATTACGTAGTAACGATTATCATGGAAGAACTGCGCGTAAAAAATATTGGGTAAATGATATTAATAGAAAAAAGGATTAAAATTCGCAAAAAAATATATTAATGAAAAAAATCATTTTTGGCAAACTGTTATTTACTCAGATGAATCGAAATATAATATTTTCAAATCGGATGGACATCATATGGTATGGAGAAAACCTAATATGGAATATAAGAAAGAAAATTTATGTCCAACGGTAAAACACGGTGGTGGGTCAGTATTTGTATGGGGTTGCATGAGTGCTTTTGGGGTGGGAAAACTTGCATTTATTGATGGAATTAGGGATCACAAAACGTATATTAATATTTTAAAAGAGAATCTTCTCTCTAGTGCCCCTCAAATGGGTTTTAACAATAATTGGATATTTTTACAAGATAATGACCCTAAACATAAAGCATGGAATACTAAAGCATGGATCCTGTTTAACGCTCCAAAATACCTAGAGATTCCTCCTCAATCACCTGATATTAATATTACAGAGCATGTGTGGGATTATTTCGATAATAAAATTCGAAATCGACCAATTTCGAGTAAAGAAACACTAAAAATTGCGCTTCGCGAAGAATGGGCATTGATACAGTCTTCTTATATTTTCAAACTAGTTGATTTGATGCCGCAGAGACTCCAAGCTATCATCAATGCTAACGGTGGTCCAACAAAGTATTAATATTTTTTTAATATTCATTTACTTACAAATTTTATAAGTGTACGAATACTTTTTGTTTGTCATTATTTGCTTAGTTAACGTAAAAATATTTTTATGTTGTATAATTTTTTTTATTAAAAAACAAAAATTATCATAAACAAAGTGCGGGAATGTTAAAATATTTAATAGTATTGATTTAAATTAGATAAATAAAAGAAAGTCTATCAAATTCGTACTTTTTTTATTACAACCCTAGGTGTACGAATACTTTCTACACTCACTGTAGTTAGTTGATTAGAATTATTTCGCTTAAATCTGTTACCATTAATACGTGTAAGCAAATGCAACATAAATGAAACAATGTAAAAATTCGAATCGATTAATCATTCATATATAAAATAACACTTATTCAGTAAAATATCTCATTGTACTTGTTATAAAATCAATATTATGTCATTTCAGGAAATCTTCTGTACAAGTATGTGGTCAATCGATCATTTACTGTTATGTTTGCTATCAACACTAGTCTCATGGTTTGCGCGACATTGTATTGTTTATTTTTCTTGGAATGGCAGACGAGGCCCGAGCAAAAATCTCTTAGAGAAGCTAATGTAAAAAATATTGTAAAAGATTTCTTTGATTTTAACAACATCAAACAAACGTTAATAACTTTAACCAAGAAAAGGCATAATAACAGAAGGCTATATTTGTGGTTTCTTTTACTTTCTATGGCCTTCTATACATTTCAAAGAGGTAAATATATATCTATAGTACCTATTGAATTAAATTAATTGAATATAAAAATATATTACGTAAAAATAGAAAAGTTCTACTGCCTTAAGATAATTTTTTTTTAATTACTTACATATACATAGTTCTTCTAATACTTTCAGAAAACTTAGATCTCAAATTCTTCATTTCAAAATTGACAGCTATATGTCAGCTAATCATGCAGACAGCTCTCTGTCTATTAATAACATATCTATACATTGCATTTCCTATCTCTATCCTATGGTACTATAATTTCAGATGAGCGTCCTGTGATGTATTTGTACGCATCCAAAGTATTCAAATGGGATGCAACAAACTTCAGTAACTTTCGCACCTACCTCAGCGCCGCATATGTGTTAGCTATGCTGTTTGGTATACCGATTATGACTAAACTGTTCAAGTGGAGAGACACTGTAATATACATTTCAATATACTCATGTAACTTTATACTAGCGCAGTTTAAGCTGTTTACTTCGAGTCTGACTGCAAAATACGTTTCACGACGCCATGATTATTATATGTGGCAAACAGAATGGCGGTTCGTTTATTGAAAACTGATAAAATGGACAACACTACTTACACAGTGTTTTTTATGATGTCTCTCCTTATACGTAATTAGTTCTTGCTCCGAATTATGTTTTAATTATTCCGTTGTTTCGCCCCCTTTTATTATTCCCTCGAAAATTGAGAATACACTTGACGTGCATGTTTAACCTACAGCCAATGCAGGTAATAAATGTACGTCTTCTAATATTATACATGAATTAGAAAAAACATATATTCAAATATATTAAAATTTGTTAAATGTGTTCTGTTATGTTAGTTTATTAGTATTATTAAATTGCAGGTAATAATAATGCTTGGAGCAACAGCTCATATATGTGGACACTTGGCATACGCTCATGCTACTTCAGGCAAATTGATGTATGTGGGAGCTACTATAGCTGCATTGGGACCCTGCGTAGCGCCTCTTATACGTTCTATGACTTCTAAAGTGTTGCCCGCAGCGGAACGAGGTATAACATTATAACCATATCAGCTTATAATTATATAAGCTGTATATATTTATTTTTCTCTGTACTAATTGTTAGTATCAATATATGCTGTTTGTCTAAAAAAATTTAACACTTAGTTATAAGCTTCATAATTGTATAAATATTTCCACTATCTAGTGGAAACAATTGTTGGTGAACCTAAATAAATAAATAAATCAGCAAATGTGTCTATAGCAAGTCTGTTCTAAATAATTTTAATCAATTGACAAATAATATGTCATAATTGCTGAAGTTTATTTACTAATATTATAAATGTAAAAGTGTTTGTTTGTTACTTTATAGTGCCTTAACGGCACAGCTTATTGATTAAATAACTATAAAATTTCATATACAATTTTACATATGGGATGGAGACGGATACAGGTGAGTAAATACATTCCGGTGACGAGAATGAAGTCGCGGATATATTAAGCTAATATATTTGTAAACAAAATAGGTATATTATATCAATAGATAGATCTCAATTTAAAAAAAAAAAAAAACTAACAACATCTGGGAAATTTTTAATACAATTACAATACTAATAAATGGCTCATTTTACTCATTTAAAAAACGATAAATGTTATTAATATTTAATCAACTAAAGGGACGTTTGGTTGGTTGAATTTTAAACCAATTTTGATAGTTTATATTCCATCTTTTGGTATAAATATAATCTAAGCCAGTTGAGACTTCCAACTTATTATATATGCTAATTATAATTTCAGGGGTAGCATATGCATTTTTGTCGGTTATGGAAAATGCAGTAGCACTGTTTGCATCAGTAATTTATTCTCAGTTGTATAAAGCTACACTCAACACAAAATATATCAACTCCATATTTTACCTCACAATGAGCACACAAGTCATTGTGTTTATATTGACAGTGTAAGTATGCGTTACAATAATCTGCTTTATTTATTATTAAATATCATACATTAAAATTATTTTTTGTTTTCAGTATTATAGATATAATGTTGAAAGGAAAAAAAATAGAAGTCTTAGCAGATCAAGAAGAAAGACAGATAGCGGAAAGAGAAACTCCTGATCTTACGTAACTCGAAATATAAAAATTAAATCTGTTCGTTGATAAGGATATAGCAAAAGTAAACGAGTAGAAAATCTCTTTTGTAGTCGTGCAACAATTGATAAATGTATCCCTACAGCACGTCTCTCCACGCGATGCTCTCAGTTTGTCTAATACATTCAATAAATGCAGGGGATTAAATTCTAAATCTCATATTTTCAATATAATTTCATTACATCACTAATAGGTCTACATTTCTAAAATATAGACACGATATGTGATGTAGTATTGTTTTTTATGGAAATGGCGAATATTATAAATAATTATATCTAGGTAGGCTAGGTCGCTTTGAAACTGCATTTAACTAATTACTTATGTAATGTAAAACGAAAGCTTTTAATTTAGGAAGCGAAGAAGAGTTTGTTAGTTGTGAGTTAGTCGTCTTATTACTAGCAATATACCCTGTCAGGTCGACCTCCACGCGGCGATTCGCATAGTTTCGCGGGGAGAAGTGTGCTCTAAGTATTAGTATTGTAGGCTTATGTACGGTCACAAAAGACATTAGTTTCTACTTGCTTTCTTTTTCTATAGTATTGTTACTGTATTTTAATAATTAGAATGTAAATAAATTAAAGTAGCGGGTTGCCCATGGTCCTAAAATTTATTCCTCAAAATTGGAAACACATTAAGAAAAGAACCTGGCGTTCTCTATCTAGGTTAAAACGCTTTTTTAACGACGGGTAAGATAGATGTAAATTCTTTGAGAGTAATTATTTTTTTCTCAAACATGCTTGGAAATGTGAGCATTATTTTGACAATCTTCTTCGAGATAAATCAAAATTGCCGTACTGGCCAGATACATGCGGGCAGCGGCCGGCAAAAGTTGTATGAAAATCCATATCTGTCGTATTTTGCGGCCAGATAAATTACTATGTAAACTCATATCTGTCCTGTAATTTAAAAATGGAATGACCTTTTACTTCGAAACATGGTTACCAAGGAGGTAACTAATAAAAGGTTTTATTTAAATTTCGAACTGGCTTACAAATAGAAAGCTGTTTATTGAATAAAAAACAAAGGAACATAAGAATTATTACAGTGCTACAAACTTATCTGACCCGGTGACCAAAACTGGAACGAATGCCGCCATTTTGAAATGTCATTCGTCTTTCGAATTTATAGTTGTTTATGTCGCGTAGTATTTTTGTCGTCGTTCAGTAGTTATATTAGAAGAAATAATACCGAAAGCATTAACAAGTGACGCAAGGAGCATTATTTTAAAAGTGTAAAATTTTATGAAAGAAGAGAAACACCTCCAAACGCCAGTAATACCTTTTGAAAAATTGTATGAGCGAGTAGCAGCTGCTACAGGTAAGTGTTGCTAAGTACAATGATTTATTTACCTTGATTTATTGAGTGATAATGGAATTATGTATCCGCCTATGCTATGGGTATACAATGGTGGTGCGTCGTTACTAACAATCCCTTCTCTCCCTACTAAAAAGTATTTTATGTGTAATAATAAATATTTATTTTACTTGCTTGTAGGTGTTGGTGAGCGGTTCATTCGAAAATTACTTCCTGATAAAAAACAGGCCTATGCAACCGGTTAAAAAATTTCTACTCCAGGGAAAAAAAGAGAAAGAACAAAAGGTAAGATTGAAATCGATGACTTTGATCTTGGTGTCATAAAAAAAATTCATGAATGTTACACCATGAAGAAAGAAATACCAACAATATCCAAGTTACTCAATCTTTTATGGGAAGAAATTAACTTTAAAGCTAGTCGTAAATATCTTAGAAAAATATTGCGTAAAATTGGTTTTCGGTACAAAAAAACACAATCGAATCGAAAAGTCCTTATTGAACGAAGCTGATGGAATTCATAGAAAATTACACAAAACCTCAGTTGTACCAATTAATAAAGAAACACAAGCCAGCCCCTGAATATGAAATAAATTATTTAAAGACAATGGTCATACCGTTTTTAGATTGCCACCGTATCATTGTGACCTTAACCGATAGAAATGATCTGGAGTTCAATTAAACGAAATGTGGCAGAACTAAATATTAAAAAAACAGATGCTGAAATGCCCTAGATAATTGCTGATGCATTTAATAAAATAACAAATTCAGAATGGCAAAAACATTGTGCCCATGAGAAAAAAATCGAAAAAGATTATGAAAAAAAGGAACATATTTGGATGAGCCATTTATAGTGAATTTAGGTAGCGACAGCGAAAGTGAAATCAGCGACTCTGACGGTGATGTGACTGAAGTTAATAGTGCCACTACTGCAATTCCAGGCATCCAGCCTATAAACTACAATAATGATAATTATCTACAGGACCATAATTATTGTATTAAAATATAATTAATTATAATGATCTGTTTTAATAAAACTGCCCGTATAGTTATTAGTATTATATGTAAATATAATTAATATTATATTTATATATAATACAAATTTTAATAAAAGAATAGAATAGTTTTATTATTAAAATTCAATCAACATACTATATATATATATATATATATATATATATATATATATATATATATATATATATATATTATCAAATACCTGGTAGATTATATTTGTAATACATTTAGTCTGCCTATGCTTTTATTAACTTCTTGTTGACCCCAAAAACCGGTTATTTTGTTCACCGGAACAGATAAGCTTGTCGCACTGTATTGTTCGTTATTCGCCATTGAACTTAAAAAGTAAAAATGTGTTTTTGATTTCCGCGCATTGATTGAGAGAAGTACTATACAAGCCTTGGCCACAACTAGGCATTGATGGACTCACGTATGTGTGCCTCGGCTACGCCTCGGTCCACATTTGCATGTTCGTCCATCTATGCCTCAGTTGCTGGCCGCTGCACTAATGTACTATTAATGATATATATAATATTTATTAATATTTTATTGTACTTACTATTCACTTTTCTATAATTATGTGTTAATAACATGTTATTATCACATTATAAAGAATAATATAGAAACAAAATAAAAATATTTTTGATGCATTTGACGTTTCATTCACTTGTAACTGAACCAATATCGTTGTTCAATGTTTGATACATTTTCCCTACTAAAACGTTACATTTTAACTTATTTAATCAATACATATAATAAAATCCTAACTGGTCGAAAAACTATTATAGAAGGGCTTTATGAACGCAATAGGACCCAAAACAAAGATTTTTAGAATTTTTGTCTGTCTGTTTGTGCACGCTAATCTCAGAAATGGTTTAACTGATTTGAATGCGGTTTTCACTAATGCGTTGTGGTTTGCTCCATTTAACATTATTTATTTTATTTCAATCGGTTTATAAATAAAAAAGTTATGTCAATCTAAAAATCATATATAAAATCGTATAAAATAATCGATCAGTTGAATTGGCTGAAACTTTATGAAGATTAGGTCTTGTATTATATACGTAAATATCATTTAATATATAATACGATATAAAACCAGATTCATGAAGAGATCCAATGGGAATGATATACGGAAACTACATAGAAGCGAACAACGCCGCAGGAATGAACTAGTTACTAAATAAAACAATTATATGGTTAATAGTTTTTACTGATATCTTTAATATTACAGAGATTTAATGATATGTATAACTTTTACATGATAGAATTAAAAATTACATAGATATTAAATCTTTTAACAAAAAGGAACACCGATGTAACGTAAACATACTGTAATGTTTACGTTACATCTATTATCAGTCACAGTCAAATGCACATTGTACTAATTCCTAAAATATTGACATTTCCAATAATCTAAAGTGATAAATTGTCATGATGAGATAGATTTATAATTTCAGCCGAGTTTTAAGAGTATATACAATAAAAAAAGACTTATTTTACTCTAGTAACGGTAGACCATTTATTAATATTAAAAATAATAATAATAAAGAAAGTCGAACATTATGATTCTGCACAAGAAGGGCCTTAATATGAAAGAAAACTAATTCCTATCTACATTTATCACAATTCAGTCAAGAGATTTAAAATCTAACTGCAATTATTATCTCTGTTATTTGGCCGTTATCTGTTCACTGCTGGCTACAGACAATATACCCTGTCAGGTCGATCTCCATGTGGTCCCTGCTGGAAACCATCGTGCTGAATTTCTAGTGTATTCAGGATGGGCTAACTGACCTGCCTTTTCATTTCACCTATCATCTGTCACTAGTTCCCCGCCAGCGTGTATCGTTAGCGCAGACAGGGTTGCTATTGTCATTCATTAAAAAAAAAGAGGCCATGTTCAGTAGTGGACAGTTAACGAATAAAACAATGATATTATAATGATCCCACTTCATGTCAAAAGCCCATTTAATACGAGTATTCTTATCTATCTTAGTGATCTAATTGAAATGTATGAGTATCAGTCGTTTCAAGGTAATGAAATCCAGGATCTAAGATATTGTTCAATTTCAACTCTTGCTTCAATTAGGTCACTTGAATCTTTATCACTAGAAGGATACATGTTGGCACAATGAGCGGTACCTAAAAAAAAACGTGTCAGTATAGAACAAAAAAAAGCGAGTGAACTCGCACGCCGAGGGTTTCGCGAATGAAATTACCTGCTTATATGATTTTGAGTATGGTTTATATTTCTTTCATGTTCATATATCAAAAATAAACCATCTGTTATAAGATTTGAAGAACTCGTGTATGGAGAATAAATCACTTTTTTTTAGCAATCAATATGGCCTAGTCACGTGGATGAAATAACGTGAAAATTATTTATTATAATATACAAACTATTTATTATTAAGTATCATTATTTATATACAAAATAAAAGTAAAGCTTTAATTATAGTTTATATGTTGTGTAAGAACATTTTATTCTTACTCATAAATATAAAAATAAGTTTGTTTATTACGACTTGAACTTGACGATTTAATGATTCAACCAATCGTCATGAAATTTGGTATATGCCATATTCATTTCATATAGTAAGGATATCTTTATAAGAAGGTAGTTCTCAGCTCATAAACACATCCTAGTCAAAGTTATAATTATAAGCTTGTTTAAAACAATACTTCAAAAACTGTACACATGATTATACCTTATACAAATACAATAACATAATCTGTAATAATAATAAATAAGGGGCATACCACGTATATAAATCGCAGGTGCGTCATTATTTTCGGAAGTAGTAACTCCCAATGCATGCCAGGGGTCAACTGATCCGTGCACAAATACAACGCGGCTTATAGATATATCCAAAGCTCCATAATAAGTATTGGTCCAGTCAGCAGCAGATGTAATGAAATTTTCATCGAACCTTAAAAATATTAATTCTTGTAACACAAATAAATCACACCTGTTTCCATCTCCGAAATCACTTAACCGACTTTAAAGAAATTTTGTAAATATGTGTTGTTTATTCCCACTTGACAGATAGGATAGTTTTTATCTCGATAAGAAAAAGTGGGCCCGTTGGGATAAACGATGTTTGCTGGTTCATATATTAAATATTATAGGTATAACGTTAATTAAGCGACTGTTAATTCATTTATTTATTAGGAATTCTAATTGGCTTCTCCAACAATGATATTAACTATAAATTATAATAAGAACCATATAGCTAATAACAGGTTTCTACGCAAAATATGAAATATAAAACAAACGCGCGAGATGGGCAGTAACAATAAAGGTAAGTGTATGTTAAGGTATATATATTACAAATTACATCACACTTAAAAGGTAACACATAAAATATAAAGTACAAAGACAAAATTATGCTTCATTATTAGATACTAGCTTTATGATATTAAATAAAATAGGCCATTTAAAGATTTTACAAGAATTCAAGACTCAACATATCTCTCGCTATTGCCACATTAAATAGATCTATATGTGATAACGCCAATGATGTATTATAAATATTACTTGCTCGTCATAAAAATGTTTTGTTGATAGTTTGTAGAAACAACAGAGATTTGAAATATAATGCCTAGACAATCTGTTAGGAATGTTTATTGTAATTTTATTTTAGAGTTCCGCATAATAAAGCAGAGCTTTAGACCCTCTTGACATTATTAATATAAAAAAAATATGAGTTAAATTACAATTAAATATATACATTATTAATTACTTACTTGTGTCCAAAAACATCCTGACATTGTTTAATAAAGAAGTTTAATGGGAAAAGGTTACCAAAAACTTCCACTTCACCTGACGATGTTTGGTAAAAACCAAACTCTGTGCACGTTTGGTACATCCATTGGCGAGCTGTAACAAATAACGAAATAAGTTATTGAAGGTACTTTTTTCATCTGTCACAGTGCTAAATACTTTTTACTATGGCATGGCATGGCCGTATGGTCCCAGCATACGGCCCCTTTCTTTCCCGTGAGTGTCGCAAGAGGCGACTAAGGGAGGGCGAGGGATGGGCATCAGCGTCCTTCCTAAAACATCTCTAAAGCATAACTGTGGTTGCCAACTCGCCTGCCAAGCGTGGCACCTACTGGCAAACACCCCAAGTGGCAGGCTTATGTTTAGCAGTGGATAGTTAAAAGCTGATATAATGATGATAATGATTACATGTTTTATACGAAAAAACAATAATAAATAAGTGTAAACTATAGCAGAACTAAAACTATTCTCGGAACAAGAACAACAACAAATATTGCGAATAGCAATATCATTGAACTTTACAGTTTCAATGTATGAGTTTCTGCAAAATACAAATATATGTTTTAATAAGTTCCTATCTGACTGTTTACATCGGTCTGAGTGTTTTCTATGTATAATTAAAAAGACATTTCTATGTTTTCTTTGTTTACAAATGTTCTATTGTTGATTTTGTCAATGATTTCATTAAATCTCTAATAAATCTACTTTAGAATTCTTGAATTTATCATTATTTACTTACGATGTGAATATGTTCCTAATCAATTGGAGAAATCAGATGATTAATAAGAATAGGTAGGTATATTTAAACTTATATTGAAGTTACAAATGCTTTGTCTGGTAACAGTAGGTATCCATTAAGAAGTTGATTAATTACATAACTAAAGCATCTGATGAGTCAATTCTTTTAAGAAATGGTTTGACCTTGTATTGACCGAAATTCGCTTGGATACTGTACATAAAGTTGTCACCGTTTTATCGATGAAAAATGGTACTTTTTTTTTCAAGTTAATATAAAATAATCATTCAAAGGATTAAATAAATCATATTGATTATTTCAATATAGTCATAACCATAATCATCAATCATCAGTCAAAACGGAACAATATACTTTTTACTTACTCTTGTATTACAATTCACGTAAAATTATGTCATAATAGGTATTCAACAACATTAAACCAGTTCTTATTATACAACGAACAAAATCTATTTAAATTAAGATTATTTTTATAGACACCAGTGTGAAACTATAATAGTAATCTGCTTAGGTATCTCTGTCTCACTCTTAGTTTAAAAGGTAAGATATGGCAGTAAAACTATGTGGAACAGATACGTAATAGCTTATTCCATAGAAATGGCAACGCTTGAAGAATACCATAGCATTATTCATATCTCTAAATTACGTTTACTATTTTCCATTAGATGGGCCAACAGTTTGTTTGCTATTTCTTGTTGCATAAAAAAAAAAAGTTCATTATTTTCATTCGACTTTAAAAATGAGGAGATCCATAGTTTGACTGTACTTTGATATTTTCCCCAATTCTAAACCGATATTTATTTATTTATATTTTCTTTAAACGAATTCATTCACAAGTTAGTGTTTATTTTGTCATGAAATTGTAATTTTAAAACATTGAAGTTTACAATAGAATACACAATACAATCGAGTACCTTCATCAGAGCCCCATGTAACATTTCGCAACTCATTAACCATATTGTCGTAACTGTAGTCCAGGCACGAAGCATTAGATTTTTCTAAGATGATAGTGTTAAATTCTGCAAGTTTTTTGTATGCTGGATCAGATCCTTCACTAGTGATCATATTGCAAACCTAAAATTTATAAGAATTTGTACATTAATTATTGTCAGTACTCGTAAATTTAAATCTTTTAGGAAATCGATAGTAGGTATTAATTTTTAAATGCTTGTGTGGTTCCGGTATGGAATGGGTTACCCCTTCCTTTTTCGTGAGTGTCGTAAGAGGCGACTAAGGAAATTTAATGGTCGACGAATGGGTGTCCCTCTTAAAACATCACCAAACCCTAGCTGCGGCAACAAACTCGCCTGCCAAGAATGACAACTATTGACAAAACCCTGGAGACGCTTGTTTTCAGCAGTGAACAGTTGACGGTTGATATAATGACAATTGATTTTGCAATGGCTGACAATGATATATGGTAACCCCGCCTGCCCTATTATAATAGTTTACTCTGACGGAGTATCAGTAAGCGGTGAGGATAAAGTCAGCTGACCGCTAGATCGCAATGAATTTATCAAGAGTTAATAGGTACTTACGGTATTTATTGTTAGGTTCGAATAACGCTTATCAGCTCCAATTCTATTATCCTCGTTATACTGAACTAAGTCTGCAAAATCGTCAGCAATTGAATTGTAGAAATTTTTCATATCATCAGATGTAGCTTGGGAGAAAGGCTTGCATACTCTAAAATAAGTGCAATTATGATACATTATTTTATTATCTGATTTGTTTGTCATACTTGAATTTACACATGATTTTCGGTTAATACTCAAATGAAATTATATCTAATTTCTTTATATTCGATTTGAGTTTTAGTCGTTATATCGACAGAGTTACTATTAAATGTATTTCAAAAATTTATAAAATACTTTATTATGTTAAGAGATATTTGGCATAAAAAATGCAACAAATATAAATAACACATATATTAGAGAGGTAAAAAAGGTTAATCTTAGATTCAAAGAACTACTAGTTTTTTTCAAATGTTATTTGAGTCTATGATTATAGTGTCCTCAAGTATTTTTATGTAAAAATATTTAACATAATTTGTTATACTTACTTAAATTCCTTTTCAATTATTGATGGATTCGTTCTTATCAGTGTGACGATTTGTTTATGTGCTAATTTTAATTGTGCGACGCATTCTTCGCCTCCAGTCTTCTCACGTAATGCATTGACTACAACTTCGAAGTATTCTAAAAGATTAATTTAAAATTTCTGTAACATTATGTGCAGAATTTATTTGTTTATATTTTCGCAACAAACCTCTTAAAATAAGCACCTACAATCTATGTTTACAAAATAACCTAATAGTTTGTAACGATGGATGGGTGAATGTTTCTTACTCTTTCATGCGTAAACTGCTGAAAGAATTTGAACAAAATTGGGTAGGTTATATAAGTTAGCACACAAAATACTTTATATACTGACTAGCGGTTCGTCCTGGCTTCGCACGGGTGGACATTTTTACATTTTAAAAAGTGATTATTGTGACATATCGATAATAGTTGGACATATAGTATCGCAAAGTTTTTTGTAGTTATTGATATTTTATTCAATATTGTAGAACATACTTTTGTTCTATCACCAATAGTTTCCGCAGCGCACGCGACGGAAGATATTTTATAGCATTTTTTTACACCTTGAATTACGTTATAAAAGTTTTAGTAAAGATCCCTAATCTTTTCTAGCAATAAATATAAGCTATATTTATTGTTATGTTACTCAGAGTGAATGTAGCTTTCTAATGGTAAAAGAATTTTTTAAAACGGCAATGTAGTTTTTGAGTTTATTCATTACAAACATACATACAAACAAAAACACAAATTTTTCCTCTTTATAATATTAGTGTAGACGCGAATGAAAAGATTATAGGTTATGATGAAAACAGTACAGTTAGCTCATCGTAACAAATTCAAGAATTAACAACGATACCCTCCAGAGGAACCGCATAGTGGGTGTTATATAGCTAGTAAATAGTGATATTAGACCCAACTATTACTAACAATCCCTTATAAGTATTCCTTTATATAAGACCAATGTGTCAGAACAATATATATATATACATTCTGAAATATAAATTGACACAGTTGCAACAATTCCTGAAGGTCTAACTTAAATTCTGGAGTATGTTTTGATCTTGATATGACTAGTAAAAATGGTCTGTGTCAATGAGTTTTCTATTTCTGAAATTCACGTATACGAAATAGCAGGAACTAGTTAGTATTTAATAAAAATAGTGTACCCATAAAGTTGACTTTAGCCAGTAACGGGCCACTGCTAGACACGGCAGCGTGAATAAGATGAGGATATTTTAATCTGAGCCATGCAGCCAGGGAACCTGGATAAGAACCCCCAAATGCTATCCATTTTACATCTCTGTTAAGCCTTAGTTTAGTGTTCATAGCAGTTATAAAATTGGCTAAATCGGCCAATGCTTGATATGATGATAAATATTGCAAGTTTTTGGTACTTAAGTCTCTGTAATAAAATATAAAAAGACTTATAAAAAATATATCTTTTTATAATAAGTATTGTTATGCAAGTACTTATATCATTTAATAAAATATACATTCAATTCAGTACATATATTATTGTTCCAAAATTTCACAGTAAGCATATATTTTGAACTGAATTGAATTCTTCAAGGTATATACTTAAAAGAAACTGTATACAAGTGCTTATATGCACATAAAAATTATAAATTAAATAAATATAATATAAATTATAATAAAATCTTACTCAGTTGGATGACTCTCTCCATAATAGCGATGTTCCAGATTTATGCACAATGCTTTGAATTTCTGTGCATATTCAATCCATGCACCTTTTACCATCCATCTAGGATCAGCTGGTCCTTCACCACCAATCATTAAGAATATCGGACCAGGATTTTTATAATCAAAGAAAGTGTCATTAATAAAATAACGCTAGAAAATAACATAATCACTCATTCAATTGTTCATTAATAGTTTGTATTTATAAAAATAGTAACACAAAAACTGTGGTAGGTTAATGTTGTGGGTTGGATAATTTTTAACCATTTATTGGTTGAATTGACAATGATATGATGATTTACATTTATAATACCATCAACAAATAAGGACAAGAAATTCAATTATTCTTAAAATAAAATTATAGATACTAATAAAATAATAGAATTATGTGTGACGCTCCATGGCGTGAATTTGCTGGGTACAGAGGAATAACATCTGAGTCCTCAGGAATGGCAACGCATGGGTGTATCATGGGCGAAACAGTATACTCTGTTATGTCCATGGTACTGCTCATGTCTATAGGCAACGGTTACCACTTTCCATCTGGTGGGGTGTCAGCTTGTTTGCTATTCTAAGTTGCATAAAAAAATTAATTACGATAGGTTATACAATGTCATTGTAGTTACAGGGCATAGTTCTTAGAAGAATTTTGGTTAATTTTTCGATGTCGCAATAACCCCATTTTTATGCACCCATTGATTAGGGTTGTTAGAAAGCATCAATTTAACATTTTAGTCTACTGTAACTCAGAAACGGAATAGTGCACAATAAAATGTCATATATCTAAAGTTGATCCTACCATCCTATATATATATATATATGAATCCTATTCGATGGGCATATAAATGTTAAAAATGTTTTGTGAGATTGAAAAATTCATTAAAATTTTTCTAAGTTCATGGCCCATAGTGCCCCTAAGGGACTACTCCTACTCTAATCTATTTACCTGTTTCCAAAGTCTTAGATTTGTTGGAGTTGTATGGTCCAGCTTTTGTTTAAACCATTGTGCCGGGGGTAATATTTCTCCATCATAACCTCCAGGTGCTCCAAGATTTCCACCATTTCCTCTACCTAAACGAAACTGTTTACCACCGAATATTAAACAAATATCTTGAAATATCACTATTAACATAAGCAAACTGCAAAGTCGCATTGTTATTTATAAAGATCAGAAAAACTATTAAAAAAAAAAGAAAAAAACATTAAAATAACTAAATCAACAAGTATGTAAAAAAATACACAAGATTATATTTTTAATTTTAATTTTTTTTTTTTTTTAGTACGTTTGTTCCGTTTGGAACAGGCTAAGGTCGGAGACCATGCTGCCTAGTCTTCAAAAAGATAAATTGTCTGGAATTTTAATTTTAATCTGCAATGACAACTGACGTTTGACAACTAAAGTGAAGTTTAATGACAACTGTCATTATAAATATCTAGTGCTACGACCACTGACGATTCATCGATTATTAATATTAATCAATAATGATAATAAATATAACTTTGAATAATTAAATCAAAAATAAATCCTTGCTTTATATAAACGCAGTATTTGAAATGTTAAAAGACATAGGCTAATCCGTAAACTTTTTTTATTTTTATCGACTATTTTTACATTTCGTTAAGTACAATTAACAGTGTCAAAATATCAGAGCACCCATTAAAATAAGATTAAACATAATTTTTTTTTTAAAATTAAAACCATTAGACATTAGATAGGTAATTCTTTAATAATACAATGACAATGCACGTCATGAAAACATACATTTAGAAAAGAGTAGTAAAGAGTTTATAATATTCGTCCACCCCTAACAAGACTATCCTCATTCATTGAAGGTCACCAAACATAATAAGCTAGAGCTCTCATGGCAGATATTCCTGGATGCCCTTTGTGAAGATATTTCATTACAGAGTTCCTCAATGAATAAGGAACAACTATTCGACCATGCCACATCAGAATTTTGTCTTCTAATGATAACTCACAACGTTTTCGTAAATATGGTCTCAATTCTTCTGACAAATTATCTAGGCGCCAACCAGTTTTTAAAATTCATTGATTTTTTTAAGAATAGGATCTTTTTTAACTTCGTTTCTCAGAATGTTTCAGATATAGGTAGGTCACGTAGCTTACCCATTTAGTGACGTGTGTCTATTTTATGAATCAAAACTTCTGATAATGAGGGTTTTTCGTGAGGGTTGGGCATTCGTGAGAAATAGTCAGCCATGACATTAAGTTTGCTTTTTGTAAATATAACATCGTAGTTATAGCTGCCAATCAGAAGGGCCCAACGTACTAGACGGTTGTTACATAACTTAGGCAGATTGGGTCAAGTCCCTAATAAATGCATTAAAGGGTTGTGATCAGTCACTAAGGTAAATTTTCCACCACGTAAATATTGGTCAAATTTTTCAATTCCGAAAAAAATCGCAAGCGCCTCACGATCGATAACGGAATATTTAGCCTCTGCTGGTTTTAATTTCCGCGAAGCAAAAGAAATTGGCTGCACAATATCATTATTTTTATGGTAGAAGAAAGCATCAACCCCTTTTTCAGACGCATCACAAGCTAAAAAAAGTGGTTGACTTTCGTTAACAGCAATTAGGGGTTTGGAACGCAAAATTATTTTTTTTTTTGCTTTATTCAATATTTTATCTTCTGTTTCCGACCATGGTCATTTGCGGCGATTTTCCGTCAAGGTATGTAGATCTGCGCATAAACTACGTAAATGTGGAATAAAACGTTCATAAAAATTAACTAAAACAAGAAATGACCTTAACTCTCGGGCGTTGCTAGGTGGCGCTGCTTTCTGAATGGCTTCCAGTTTTGACTTTGTTGGACGAACGCCATTTTTATTAATAGTGTGCCCAAGATATTAGATTTCTTCTTGAAAGAAAGTACATTTTTTTAAATATATCTTAAGACCAGCTTTTTCCAGTTTTCCAAGTACTATGGATAGAGTTCTAAGATGATCTAAGTCATTTTTACCAGTTATGGCAATATCATCAAAACATACTGCGACATTTGGAAAATCTTCAAGCAGTTTATCTAGAAAATGTTGGAAAATAGCTAGGGCTGTGAAGATTCCAAAAGACATTCTATTATATTGAAAATAACCTTTATGTGTAGTAATGATAAGATATTTTTGAGTCAGCAGCAATTGGAAACTGTAAGTGTAGGCATCTTTCAAATCTATTTTGGTAAATTTTTCTCCCTTTGCTAATTTTTTACGTAAATGCTTAAACAAAGGAACTGGATGTGCATGCGTAATGAGGACAGGGTTTAAAGTGCTGCGATAGTCTCCACAAATCCTCACTTGGTCATTAGTCTTAATCACATTGACAGTAGGCGTAGCCCATTTGACAGGAGTTATATTAGGATCTACTTCAGTTACTGTACCAGTATCCACGAGCCGCTTCAATTCTATTTCGATATTCTTTTTCAAAGAGAACTTTACAGGTCTAGGAGAAAAGTGTTTAGGTTGTGTACCAGGTTTAATATGAATATTCACTTCATAGTTCTTGACTTTACCCAGTTGATCATCAAATAGAGATTTGTATGTATTTAAAACCTGCTTAAGCGTTGTAGGTTGTTGTAAAATACGAATAGTGTAGACTGTTTAGGAAATTCCATATCGAATACTTGGCTCCATTGTAGACCAAATAGCATTGGATCTGCATTTTTCATAACTATTACTGGTACAATTCATTCTTGATCTTGTACTTGTACCGTCACGTCCGTCAAACCTAATGACTTAAGTTTTAAATTTCCATAAGCACGTAGACGTGGTGCGTCAGTCAACTGGGGAGCTCCTATTTGTTTCCAAAAACAAACGTCTATGATAGAATAAAAAGATCCTGAGTCCCAATCCATAGTACATGGTCTGCCATTGATAATGACGTCAATTTTCTTGCTGTCCTTGCTATTTCTATTGTTGATCTTGTGAACAGCAGTTAATTCATCTTCAGTATCGTCTTCACTAGGGCTTGAGCTCCTCGCTGTATAATCGCTGCTTCCGGAAGAGCTCTATTAACTTTATGTAATTTTTCACTACCTTTATGTATTTGTTTGTTTTCGAAGGATAAATATGCTCTGCCAGTTTTCAAATAACAGTTATCAAAATGTCCTTTATTATTGCATTATTTACAAACATTGTCTTTAGTCTGAGCGACACCTTTATCACCTTCGTACGCTGTTTCAGCGTTTTAAAGAGTACGGCATTGTCTTGAACTGTATAAAGAGCGTATTAGGAATTAAAGAAGTTACAGTCCTTGGCAACCGGATATCAGCTTCTGGTATACCCCCGCCCACTGAGCGAATAGAAATGCTTAAAAATTTCCCGATTCCTAAATCTGCTCAGGGACTTCATCGATTCCTCGGTATGTTAAACTTTTACAGAAAGTTTACACCGAAGGCTGCAAAATACCAAGCGCCTTTGATCGACGTACTAGCCGATAATCAGCTCAAAAGTTCCAAGCCGGTACCATGGACTCCTGAATTGGAGAAACCCTTTGATGAGTGCAAAGCCAGCCTCACTGAGGTTACTTTACTTGCTCATCCTCAACAAGTTGAGTCCCTTGGTCTTTTTACTGATGCGTCTAGTTCTCACGTCGGTGTCGTTCTTCAACAAAAAGTAGGTGATATTTGTCAGCCATTAGGTTTTTTCAGTAAAAAGCTGAATCTTAAACAGTCCTCATGGCCAGCCTATTACCGTGAGCTTTTAGCGGTATATGAGGCAGTTCAACATTTCCGTTATATATTGAAGGCACAACATGTCACCATATATACGGACCATAAGCCTCTTATTTATGTTTTTTCTCAGCGTCGAGAGAAATTACCACCTATTCAACTTAATCAGTTGTCTTTAATTTCTCAATTCATGACTGATGTAATATATCTTAAAGACTTAGATAACATTGTAGTTGATGCTTTGTCGCGAGTAGAAGCTATACATGTAGCTTACGATTTTGCTGAGCTAGCCATCTCTCAATACCAAAATGAGGAACTACAGACGCTCCTCTTTAATCCTGATAGTAGCTATTTAAAATTAGAAAAGGTTGTAATTCCTGGTTCTGACATAACTCTTGTTTGTGACATGTCAACTGGAAAACCACGTCCCTTTTTGACCTTTCCTTTTCGACGACCACATTTCGACAAATTATACAACCTCAGTCACCCTGGTGCACGGGTAACCATGCGCTTGGTGACTGATCGTTTTGTCTGGCCTGGTTTGAAAAAGGATTGTCAGGCATGGGTGAGGAATTGCATTTCTTGTCAGCGCAGTAAAGTCAATCGTCACTGTCATACACCATTAGGTCATTTCGGCAGTCCGTTTGGTCTTTTCCGTCATGTTCACATCGATATTATCGGTCCATTTCCATCTCAAAATAACTTTATCTATTGCTTAACATCTATAGATAGATTTTCACGATGGCCGGAAATGTGGCCGATTATATAAATGACTGCCGAAACCGTTGCCGATACGTTTGTGGCTGGTTGGATCGCACGATTTGGTGTATCCGAAACCATCACTACAGACCAGGGTCGCCAGTTTGTGGCTCATCACGTGTGCGGACAACCAGTTTCCATCCGCAAGCGAATGACATGGTGAAACGCCTCTATTGACAGCTGAAGGCCGCACTGATATGTCACCGTGACGATTGGTTGAGCTCTCTTCCTTTAGTGCTGTTAGGTCTCCGATCAGCATTAAAAGAGGACATTGGTGCATCCACTGCTGAAATGGTGTATGGAGAACCCCTTCATCTTCCTGGTGAGCTTATCACTTGTAGTTCAGTTTCCCAGGAGATTTTGAATCCTTCAGATTTTGTCCATAGACTTCGCAGAACTATGTTAAAAATTAGACCCATTCCAGCATCTCATCATTCTACACCCGGTATACTTATTTTCAAAGATTTGCCCGACGTTACTCATGCCTTTTTAACAGATGATAGCGTCAGACGATCTCTTCAACCACCATATTCCGGACCATATTGCATTGTGGCCCAGAACAATAAAACTGCAACCCTCTGTATTAACGGTAAGAACGTCACTGTGAGTCTTGACCGCATGAAGCCTGCTCATTTAGAACTGGGTACTACTAATCATGATCCCCCCTTCACGCGACTAATTTTCATACCTCACTTCTCCACATCCCGCTCCTGTACTTCCTGCACCGGCCTCGCAAGTTACTGGGCCGGTTACCAAATCGGGAAGAAAGGTTCGTTTTAGGGACAGACTTGACCCGTGAGCCTTGCTTTCTCCGCGGGGGTGTGGTGTGGCGTATTACTGGCCATCACAATACGCCTTTTATACTGACCATCATATTCCGTCCTTCATATTTTTATATTTCTATTGTTCTTATGTTTTTTGAATTCTGTCATTATTAGTCTTTGTTTTCCTACCGATGAAGACGTGATAAAAAAGAACTACAATATTTAAGCATTTTTATTATCAACCCGTTTCTCTTAAAGCTTATAACAATTATAACTGTGATATATATATTGAGAGGATAATGGATTGCTAAAAATGAGGATTAGTAGCCTCATTGTTGGCAATACACCCTGTCAGATCGACCTCTTCGCGGTTTCCCTGAAAACTTTCGTGTTCTATTCCAAGTGATTTCATCACTATAGGCTAACTGACCTGTTTTTTATTGCCACCTATCATCCCTCACTGTCATTATTCAAAAGCAATTGAATAATTTTCAGTTTTCCTGATTGATTATTTAAAAAGTACTCTGCTAGCTAATTTAAAGGTTAATCACAGAATACGTTGAATATAAATCTAAAACTAAAAACTTTGCATTAGAATGCTTTAAGTGACAGATTAACAAGAATATTATTCCATGACTAACATGATTCGCTACAAGTGTACTTTGTTAATAATTAGTCAAGAACATTGAAAAATTTTAAATTATTTTCAAAATTGACAGATAATTGCGGTGTCGCTACACTTCAATAAGTTAAAATGATGAACGCTTAATTTAGAAAAGGTCATACAATTTTTTTTTTGTTACAAGAAAATATTAATGTCTTATTAAGATATATGGTACCTATGATGTTAATAAAAAAAAAATATCGATACAAGATATGTCGATTTAAACTGTAAAAAAAAGTGACTTCCACGTTTCCGCCTTTGAATAATCACGTGCTGTGCTTGATACGAGATATCATTCAAAACTCACTACTCACCTCTACTATCAAGCTTCACTCCACTTGCCAATTCAATCGATCGGTCGCGGACGCGGTATAGTATAGTCGTGTGTTACTGGTGTTGTAGTACCTCTCGGTGGTTTTAACCATGTCTCTTTTCAGAATTTCATCAACGAAAATATTGGAATTGCAGGTAAATATATTTATATAATTACAAATTATTTTGTTAATACACCCAAAAACTAGTATCCTTTCTTTATCTCAAAAGTATTTTGAGTGTTACTTTTATAACCTTCGTAAATACATTTTCGATTCAAAGTTATGTAATGTGAATAAAAGCTATTTTGGGACTAAATGATTTAGTTTTAGTTTTATAAATGTAATAAAAGTTATTTGAAACCGGTGTTATTTACTTCCAGTTCTTTTGTATTTTTTTTGTTTTGGAGATGACCTTCAATTTCTTCGGCGTCGTATCATGCGCTGCTTTACTTATTTAATTCTATTTCGTTTCCTTTACTGTACTGTTTCAACTTGAAATTTAGGACTGCATGGTTTTATATTTTAATTTCTAAGGGTGCTTTTGTTTTATTTGACCATGCTTAGCGTAAGCATGCACCATTACACAGGTTATTTGTACTTTTTATAATAGTGATAATGGAATGGTAACGCCGCCTGCGCTATCGGTATACGCTGGCGAGGCACCAATGAGGGATGAATGATAGGTAATGGTGAAAGCAGGCCCATTATGATGAATTCCACTAGAATTAAACATGATGGTTTCCAAGGGGAACAGTGTGGAAGTCGACCTGATGACCCAGTGCCAGCAATACACCCTGTATTGCTGGCACTGGGTCAGCAAGACCCATTACTAACAATCCCTTTCCCCCGGTTTTATTGTTTTAGGTCTAAATATATATACATATTTCTTTTTTATATGAAAACAAAAGTACATATACTTTGTGCTACCTACCATCTTCATGTGTAATTAAATAATTAAATATGTAATATACATATATATATATATATATATATATATATATATATATATATATATATATATATATATATATATATATATATATATTTAGGCATGTCATTATTAAATGAAACAGTAAAGTAAAAACATTTTCCACCAAGTGCCAACAATCTCCATTATTAACAATATAATAATTTATAATCCAGTGATAGTATTCATAAATGATGGAACCAAATTAAATAAGAAAGTACCAAGAACTGAATAAAGAAAAAGACACCTGCCAATATAAATACTTACAATATTATATTGGATATTAACTTACAATAGTTATTATTCAACAATAAACAGAAATGTTTCATACAATCTTTGTACTCACATGATTAGATTGTAGATATATTCTTATTATTATTTCGTAAAAAAAAAGAGATTTTCCCATAACTATTTTACCTCATGTCCCATGGAGAAAAGTGATTATTTTAATTATTTTTATGCCTAGAATTTTAATCGAAAAACTGACAAAGGTTTATCAAAAAGTCTAATTTTTGGAGACTTTGTTTACTTATATAATATTGAGGTTACAAAACAATGGCCTTGGTCAGTGTAATAATATTCAATTATAGACAAAGAAGTTTTATATATGTTTAATTTATTATTTAAAATACTTATTAAAAACGTTCATTATTATAAAATATGAAGTATGTATATGTTATAAATATAAGTAAGATAACAAATTAAACGACTTTAAAAAACTAATTTATTAAATAAAATGTAGTAACATTGTGAGAAATATTATTGATTTTTTCCATTGAGTTCTTGTATGAGTGACTATCAAATATGTTATTTGTGTGAATCAATACTTTGTTTTCTCTGCCTACTTGATGCTCAATTATTGAAATTTAATAAATTTATTTTTTGAATTATTTTGTTACTGGTGATTGGTGAAAATATATAAAATAAATTTGGGATTTGGGTACGATAACATCTCTCATCTCAACTAGTGTTAATCAAATGTAAAATCAAACCAAATGGGTGCTAATTATTAGGTAAAAGGTTTTTTTGTATGAATTTGATTTTTAATGTGACTAACATTAAAAATCAAACCATTATTAATGAATACTTAGTGTCCTTACACAGAAGATATAGATATAAAAGGAATTGAATAAGTAGACTTCTATTTACTTGTTTTGGGTTTCTTTTGACAAAACTGATGGAAGACAATCTCATCTTATCTCAGTGATTTATAATATGATTGTCCTACCTATATAAAATTATACATGTAAGTAGGATCTATTAACTTGTAAAAGAGTTTTATTAGAGATTTTTATAGTTATTTATAAAAATAATAGAAAATTATAATCCAGCCAAAATTTGTATGTACATGATATTAAAGAAAAGAATAATCTATTGTGTAGATAGTAGGTATACCATATGTGTGTTGACTTTGTATGTATGTGTTCTAGTGGCCTTGCGTGAAATATCTATGCCAATGTTATTCACGGTGGCGCTTGCTTGCGTGACGATAAATTGTTACTTTGAGTCATTTTTGCTCTCGTATCTTCCGTCAACCTAGGGCCATTAGTTGGCTTATTAATTTTAGGTGTCAATATGTCGTACCAGGATCTTACTTTTACTGAATATAACAACAGACGTACATACAACTATATTATATAAAACGGTTTAATTCAAGATCGCACCGGTGGGCTTGTTTTATTTCTTCATCATTCTCCGAATAACTCGTGAAATAATGTAAAAATATGAAAATTACAATCTTTACTCCTGTTCGTTTATTATTATTATTAATCCGTAATTAACATTTTTCATATTATATTATTTTTGGGAAACCACTAAAAGAAAGACGTGCTATTTAATATTTTTTGTGCATAATAAGTATTATACTTAAAACGATATATTCGCAAAACTTTTGTCGATTTTGATGATTGTTATTGCAATTGTTTTATTTGTATTATTGAATAAAAATACTAGAATACTTTTATCACGACTGAATATTTAAATTCTTATTTAAGTATATGTTTAAATAAGTTATATAACTTATTGAAGTATAATATATACCTCGTAAACTAGGGAGTATAAAAATAAAAAAATATATATGTATATTATAATAAAAATATCCTATTTATCAAAACGTGGCAAACGATAATACAATTACAAAATTGTATTTATATTGGTTGAGCAATTTCAGAGATTAGCGTTACGAACATTCTGATACAGGATGTTTATGTTACGAAAAAGATTATTTCTTAAGTAAAACCGTTTATGTCAGAATTAATAGAATGTTTTATAAATGTTTTATAAATGTTTTATTTACATCTTTGTGTTCTATTGAATAGTTTGTTCAGCAGCCGACAGGCATAGGCAGTTTAGTCACGTGCTTATTTCGCGTATTAACGTTTAGTATAAATGTGATAAACCACATATAATTGACTCAGTACTATTCCTACAGTATGTTGAATCAGTTACAAACAGGTGACACCGGCAAATTCTAATAACAACATAATTTGTTAGCCAACTGTCTTTATTATCCTCGTTAATTTCTTGTTGACTCTGTTTTTTGAAAAAGCAGATTTACTACCAATTTAGAATTGTCAAACTCATATGGCAATGCTATTAATGCTGCTTTTGCTATTAGATGATATTGTTATCAGTAGACAAAGTCTCGCAGAAATCTTAGTGATGGTATGCTGTGTGTCCTCTAAGTGCTCTTCGGCTAAAGATAACCAACCACGCAGGTCATTCTCGGGCGCGAATCGGGCACTCGCCCAAATGTCGACATACTTTTTGCGGTATATATATGGTATTGTAATTGCTATTAGTACTATTACTGTGCTATACGATTATTATGAGAATTCGTGTGATGACTGATTAAGCGTTCAATATGTGAATATGTCACCACTACTTTTCATTGTAAAGATATCTCAAAAGGCGAATAAATTAATGAACTATAAAACACTAGTATTAGAAAAAGGAACTCTCGAAACAAAACGTCATATTCAGATGCATGCCTAGCAGGTACAGTAAGCTATACTTAACGGTTCTTTTGTGTTTAGACACGTGCTTAGAAATGGGTGTTAATAGGTTATTATGATATTATATTAAGTATTAAAAGTAGAAGATATATAAAGACGCCATCCATCCGTTCGTTTAATAGAATCAGGATAGTTTACGTAATTTTAACTTTAACAGAATAAACAAGCTACTAAAACTTTTGTCCATGTGTTATCTAGGTTATATTAGGACATTTGCAGTATATATTTAATGATCTAAATACAAATTAGATACGGATGTATTATATGGTTAATCTATCGACTTTGTCTCTATGGTACCTAGATAAGCAATGCATGTTCCGCGTTCAGGGCCGTGTTCGTGTAATAGGGCTTCTAATTGAACTATCAATCGCATAAACGCACTAGAGTTTATGCGACGTCTTAACCTCTTTATAAGCGAGATTCTTTACAATCAATTTAAAAAAACGAGGAGGTTCTCGATTCGGTTATTTTTTTATGTTTGTTCCGCCATTTATAAACTGATTTATAAACTTCTTTTTTTTATCTGAAAGGATTTACTTTCAGATTGGTCCCATAAAAAGTTTATCGAAATCGGTTTAGTACTTTAGTTTTTAAATTGAAATAGCTGGCCATGACGATTAATCTTGATGTTTTTTTTTTTGTGGAATAAATATACGAAATTAAATAATTAATATTGTGAAAATATTCGTGTTTATCGATTACTAATACTTCAAAAGGAAGTTTTCAATTTTAATTTATTATGGCTATATTACGCTATTACGTCACCTATTCTGAACTGATTTTCACAATTATTTTTATAAATCGATAGGGTTTACTCTTGCATTGGCCACATATTTATTTTGCGGCTTCAATCACCAATGAATGTTATATGTGCTGTTTATCGAACTTGAACGGTTTCTTTATTAACGTTAAACTATTATATTGATTAATTGATTGAGATTGTTTTACCTTTTGCAATAAATTTTGTGCTTTGTTTATATTGTATTAAACTTAGATATGATACGTCAAAATCAAAGTTCATAGGAGCTGTCCTTTTGTACAAACAGTACACTTATAAGTAGCTATATCTAGCACGTTTAGAAATATACATTATATATATCTTACAATAAAATTATTGATAAAATGATTTATTGGTAGATAACTAGATGTTCGACGATCGAACACGTGGTAGGT